TCACACCCACCTGTGTTGACTAGTCTCCAGGAGAGTGGCCCCCTAAATCACACCCTCCTGTGTTGACCAGTCTCCAGGAGAGTGGCCCCCTAAATCACACCCACCTGTGTTGACTAGTCTCCAGGAGAGTGCCCCCCTAAATCACACTCACCTGTGTTGAGTCAATCTCCAGGAGAGTGGCCCCCTAAATCACACCCACCTGTGTTGAGTCAATCTCCAGGAGAGTGCCCCCTAAATCACACCCACCTGTGTTGACTAGTCTCCAGGAGAGTGGCCCCCTAAATCACACCCACCTGTGTTGAGTCAATCTCCAGGAGAGTGCCCCCTAAATCACACCCACCTGTGTTGAGTCAATCTCCAGGAGAGTGCCCCCTAAATCACACCCACCTGTGTTGACTAGTCTCAAGGAGAGTGTCCCCCTAAATCACACCCACCTGTGTTGACTAGCCTCCAGGAGAGTGGCCCCCTAAATCACACCCTCCTGTGTTGACCAGTCTCCAGGAGAGTGGCCCCCTAAATCACACCCACCTGTGTTGACTAGTCTCCAGGAGAGTGCCCCCCTAAATCACACTCACCTGTGTTGAGTCAATCTCCAGGAGAGTGGCCCCTTAAATCACACCCACCTGTGTTGACTAGTCTCCAGGGGAGTGTCCCCCTAAATCACACTCACCTGTGTTGAGTCAATCTCCAGGAGAGTGCCCCCTAAATCACACCCACCTGTGTTGAGTCAATCTCCAGGAGAGTGCCCCCTAAATCACACCCACCTGTGTTGACTAGTCTCCAGGAGAGTGGCCCCTAAATCACACCCACCTGTGTTGAGTCAATCTCCAGGAGAGTGCCCCCCTATGCACCCACCTGTGTTGAGTCAATCTCCAGGAGAGTGGCCCCCTAAATCACACCCACCTGTGTTGAGTCAATCTCCAGGAGAGTGGCCCCTAAATCACACCCACCTGTGTTGACTAGTCTCCAGGAGAGTGGCCCCCTAAATCACACCCTCCTGTGTTGACCAGTCTCCAGGAGAGTGGCCCCCTAAATCACACCCACCTGTGTTGACTAGTCTCCAGGAGAGTGCCCCCCTAAATCACACTCACCTGTGTTGAGTCAATCTCCAGGAGAGTGGCCCCCTAAATCACACCCACCTGTGTTGACTAGTCTCCAGGAGAGTGTCCCCCTAAATCACACTCACCTGTGTTGAGTCAATCTCCAGGAGAGTGCCCCCTAAATCACACCCACCTGTGTTGAGTCAATCTCCAGGAGAGTGCCCCCTAAATCACACCCACCTGTGTTGACTAGTCTCCAGGAGAGTGGCCCCCTAAATCACACCCACCTGTGTTGAGTCAATCTCCAGGAGAGTGCCCCCCTATGCACCCACCTGTGTTGAGTCAATCTCCAGGAGAGTGGCCCCCCTAAATCACACCCACCTGTGTTGAGTCAATCTCCAGGAGAGTGGCCCCTAAATCACACCCACCTGTGTTGACTAGTCTCCAGGAGAGCGGCCCCCTAAATCACACCCACCTGTGTTGACTAGTCTCCAGGAGAGTGTCCCCCTAAATCACACCCACCTGTGTTGACTAGTCTCCAGGAGAGTGCCCCCCTAAATCACACTCACCTGTGTTGAGTCAATCTCCAGGAGAGTGGCCCCCTAAATCACACCCACCTGTGTTGAGTCAATCTCCAGGAGAGTGCCCCCTAAATCACACCCACCTGTGTTGACTAGTCTCCACGAGAGTGGCCCCCTAAATCACACCCACCTGTGTTGAGTCAATCTCCAGGAGAGTGCCCCCTAAATCACACCCACCTGTGTTGAGTCAATCTCCAGGAGAGTGCCCCCTAAATCACACCCACCTGTGTTGACTAGTCTCAAGGAGAGTGTCCCCCTAAATCACACCCACCTGTGTTGACTAGTCTCCAGGAGAGTGGCCCCCTAAATCACACCCTCCTGTGTTGACCAGTCTCCAGGAGAGTGGCCCCCTAAATCACACCCACCTGTGTTGACTAGTCTCCAGGAGAGTGCCCCCCTAAATCACACTCACCTGTGTTGAGTCAATCTCCAGGAGAGTGGCCCCCTAAATCACACCCACCTGTGTTGAGTCAATCTCCAGGAGAGTGCCCCCTAAATCACACCCACCTGTGTTGACTAGTCTCCAGGAGAGTGGCCCCCTAAATCACACCCACCTGTGTTGAGTCAATCTCCAGGAGAGTGCCCCCTAAATCACACCCACCTGTGTTGAGTCAATCTCCAGGAGAGTGCCCCCTAAATCACACCCACCTGTGTTGACTAGTCTCAAGGAGAGTGTCCCCCTAAATCACACCCACCTGTGTTGACTAGCCTCCAGGAGAGTGGCCCCCTAAATCACACCCTCCTGTGTTGACCAGTCTCCAGGAGAGTGGCCCCCTAAATCACACCCACCTGTGTTGACTAGTCTCCAGGAGAGTGCCCCCCTAAATCACACTCACCTGCGTTGAGTCAATCTCCAGGAGAGTGGCCCCTTAAATCACACCCACCTGTGTTGACTAGTCTCCAGGGGAGTGTCCCCCTAAATCACACTCACCTGTGTTGAGTCAATCTCCAGGAGAGTGCCCCCTAAATCACACCCACCTGTGTTGAGTCAATCTCCAGGAGAGTGCCCCCTAAATCACACCCACCTGTGTTGACTAGTCTCCAGGAGAGTGGCCCCTAAATCACACCCACCTGTGTTGAGTCAATCTCCAGGAGAGTGCCCCCCTATGCACCCACCTGTGTTGAGTCAATCTCCAGGAGAGTGGCCCCCTAAATCACACCCACCTGTGTTGAGTCAATCTCCAGGAGAGTGGCCCCTAAATCACACCCACCTGTGTTGACTAGTCTCCAGGAGAGTGGCCCCCTAAATCACACCCTCCTGTGTTGACCAGTCTCCAGGAGAGTGGCCCCCTAAATCACACCCACCTGTGTTGACTAGTCTCCAGGAGAGTGCCCCCCTAAATCACACTCACCTGTGTTGAGTCAATCTCCAGGAGAGTGGCCCCCTAAATCACACCCACCTGTGTTGACTAGTCTCCAGGAGAGTGTCCCCCTAAATCACACTCACCTGTGTTGAGTCAATCTCCAGGAGAGTGCCCCCTAAATCACACCCACCTGTGTTGAGTCAATCTCCAGGAGAGTGCCCCCTAAATCACACCCACCTGTGTTGACTAGTCTCCAGGAGAGTGGCCCCCTAAATCACACCCACCTGTGTTGAGTCAATCTCCAGGAGAGTGCCCCCCTATGCACCCACCTGTGTTGAGTCAATCTCCAGGAGAGTGGCCCCCCTAAATCACACCCACCTGTGTTGAGTCAATCTCCAGGAGAGTGGCCCCTAAATCACACCCACCTGTGTTGACTAGTCTCCAGGAGAGCGGCCCCCTAAATCACACCCACCTGTGTTGACTAGTCTCCAGGAGAGTGTCCCCCTAAATCACACCCACCTGTGTTGACTAGTCTCCAGGAGAGTGCCCCCCTAAATCACACTCACCTGTGTTGAGTCAATCTCCAGGAGAGTGGCCCCCTAAATCACACCCACCTGTGTTGAGTCAATCTCCAGGAGAGTGCCCCCTAAATCACACCCACCTGTGTTGACTAGTCTCCACGAGAGTGGCCCCCTAAATCACACCCACCTGTGTTGAGTCAATCTCCAGGAGAGTGCCCCCTAAATCACACCCACCTGTGTTGAGTCAATCTCCAGGAGAGTGCCCCCTAAATCACACCCACCTGTGTTGACTAGTCTCAAGGAGAGTGTCCCCCTAAATCACACCCACCTGTGTTGACTAGTCTCCAGGAGAGTGGCCCCCTAAATCACACCCTCCTGTGTTGACCAGTCTCCAGGAGAGTGGCCCCCTAAATCACACCCACCTGTGTTGACTAGTCTCCAGGAGAGTGCCCCCCTAAATCACACTCACCTGTGTTGAGTCAATCTCCAGGAGAGTGGCCCCCTAAATCACACCCACCTGTGTTGAGTCAATCTCCAGGAGAGTGCCCCCTAAATCACACCCACCTGTGTTGACTAGTCTCCACGAGAGTGGCCCCCTAAATCACACCCACCTGTGTTGAGTCAATCTCCAGGAGAGTGCCCCCTAAATCACACCCACCTGTGTTGAGTCAATCTCCAGGAGAGTGCCCCCTAAATCACACCCACCTGTGTTGACTAGTCTCAAGGAGAGTGGCCCCCTAAATCACACCCACCTGTGTTGACTAGCCTCCAGGAGAGTGGCCCCCTAAATCACACCCTCCTGTGTTGACCAGTCTCCAGGAGAGTGGCCCCCTAAATCACACCCACCTGTGTTGACTAGTCTCCAGGAGAGTGCCCCCCTAAATCACACTCACCTGTGTTGAGTCAATCTCCAGGAGAGTGGCCCCCTAAATCACACCCACCTGTGTTGAGTCAATCTCCAGGAGAGTGCCCCCTAAATCACACCCACCTGTGTTGACTAGTCTCCACGAGAGTGGCCCCCTAAATCACACCCACCTGTGTTGAGTCAATCTCCAGGAGAGTGCCCCCTAAATCACACCCACCTGTGTTGAGTCAATCTCCAGGAGAGTGCCCCCTAAATCACACCCACCTGTGTTGACTAGTCTCCAGGAGAGTGTCCCCCTAAATCACACCCACCTGTGTTGACTAGTCTCCAGGAGAGTGGCCCCCTAAATCACACCCTCCTGTGTTGACCAGTCTCCAGGAGAGTGGCCCCCTAAATCACACCCACCTGTGTTGACTAGTCTCCAGGAGAGTGCCCCCCTAAATCACACTCACCTGTGTTGAGTCAATCTCCAGGAGAGTGGCCCCCTAAATCACACCCACCTGTGTTGAGTCAATCTCCAGGAGAGTGCCCCCTAAATCACACCCACCTGTGTTGACTAGTCTCCACGAGAGTGGCCCCCTAAATCACACCCACCTGTGTTGAGTCAATCTCCAGGAGAGTGCCCCCTAAATCACACCCACCTGTGTTGAGTCAATCTCCAGGAGAGTGGCCCCCTAAATCACACCCACCTGTGTGGAGTCTATCTCCAGGTCAAACAGATTGTGTTTGAGGAGAGCGGCCATCCTGAGAAAGGGGAGGCAGAACTCTTGTAGCGAGTCCTCCACGCTGTGAGGCGACCACACGCTCTGACAGATCTGTAACACAACATGCTCTCAACATTCCCACACTGTAAACATGTACCTCAACAACAATGACCAACTCCCTCTCCTGAAACTGGCCTCTGCAGAATGAGAAGAAATGTTTTTTGTTTTGTTTGTTATTTAACGCTGCACTCAGCAATATTCCAGCTATATGACGGCGATCTGTAAATAATCGAGTCTGGACCAGACAATCCAGTAATTGACATCATGAGCATCGATCCACGTAATTGGGATATGATGACATGCATCAACCAAGTCAGCAAGCCTGACCACCCGATCATGTTAGTGGCCTCTTATGACAAGCATAGTTGACTTTTACGCCAAGCATGGGTTGCTGAAGACCTATTCTAACCTGAAGAAATGTACTGCCATAATGCAAACTCTATGCTATCATCGATAAATCAAACTGTCACCACAGCAAAGTTTCTATTCGCTGTTTTGTGAATGAGCTTAAATATTTCCTCAGAAAGCAACTGGTATTTATGATTTTGTTCTCCGTCGGCCGAGTGTTAGATGGCAAGTGTCAATGCAGTTCCTGGTGTCAAATACTGCCTACAGTCACTGCTGGTATACTGTGGTATACTAACTTAACCATGAACACTGGTATAGCCTTCTACAATCCCCCCATCTACAGTCACTGCTGGTATACTGTGGTATACTAACTCAACCATGAACACTGGTATAGCCTTCTACAATCCCCCCGCCTACAGTCACTGCTGGTATACTGTGGTATACTAACTCAACCATGAACACTGGTATAGCCTTCTACAATCCCCCCATCTACACTCACGGCTGGTATACTAACTTAACCTGAACACTGGTATAGCCTCCTACAATCCCCCCGCCTACACTCACGGCTGGTATACTGTGGTATACTAACTTAACCATGAACACTGGTACAGCCTCCTACAATCCCCCCGCCTACAGTCACTGTTGGTATACTGTGGTATACTAACTTACCCATGAACACTGGTACAGCCTCCTACAATCCCCCCGCCTACACTCACGGCTGGTATACTGTGGTATACTAACTTAACCATGAACACTGGTATAGCCTTCTACAATCCCCCCGCCTACAGTCACTGCTGGTATACTGTGGTATACTAACTTGACCATGAACACTGGTATAGCCTTCTACAATCCCCCCATCTACACTCACGGCTGGTATACTAACTTAACATGAACACTGGTATAGCCTCCTACAATCCCCCCATCTACACTCACGGCTGGTATACTAACTTAACATGAACACTGGTATAGCCTCCTACAATCCACCCGCCTACACTCACGGCTGGTATACTAACTTAACCATGCACACTGGTATAGCCTCCTACAATCCCCCCGCCTACACTCACAGCTGGTATACTAACTTAACCTGAACACTGGTATAGCCTCCTACAATCCCCCCGTCTACACTCACGGCTGGTATACTAACTCAACCTGAACACTGGTATAGCCTCCTACAATCCCCCATCTACACTCACGGCTGGTATACTAACTTAACATGAACACTGGTATAGCCTCCTACAACCCCCAATCTACACTCACAGCTGGTATACTAACTTTACATGAACACTGGTATAGCCTCCTACAATCCCCCCGTCTACACTCACGGCTGGTATACTAACTTAACATGAATACTGGTATAGCCTCCTACAACCCCCCCATCTACACTCACGGCTGGTATACTAACTTAACCTGAACACTGGTATAGCCTCCTACAATCCCCCCGTCTACACTCACAGCTGGTATACTAACTTAACCTGAACACTGGTATAGCCTCCTTCAATCCCCCCGTCTACACTCACGGCTGGTATACTTACTTAACCTGAACACTGGTATAGCCTCCTACAATCCCCCATCTACACTCACGGCTGGTATACTAACTTAACCTGAACACTGGTATAGCCTCCTACAATCCCCCATCTACACTCACGGCTGGTATACTGTGGTATACTAACTTAACCATGAACACTGGTCTACACATACAGCTGGTATACTGTGGTATACTAACTTAACCATGAACACTGGTCTACACTCACGGCTGGTATACTGTGCTTGTCATCGTCTTCAAACAGCCGACTGAGGCTCAGCCTGGTAACAATGTGGCTCAGCATTCCCTCCATAGTTTCCACCGGCACCTGGAACACACGAATCAGGCGATAGTGTCACTCTACACTCGCTGACTTGGAATACAAATCTCTTGTCATGACATCGCTTATTTTGTCTCTTTAAAAACACTTGATCCCAGTACTTCATAAACAGATTTCTTTGAACTTGAATACAATTTATGGTAACAATCCCAATATGATAGTGGGATGTCAGTTTACATGTGTGGTTAATGGCAGCGCAGTTAATGTACTAAATATATGTGTGTTTGTGTGTGTGTGTGTGTCTGTATCTGTGTGTGTGTTTGTGTGTATGTCTTTATCTGTGTATATGTGTGCATATCTGTGTATGTGCATGTGCGTGTGTTTATCTGTGTATTTGCGTATGTGTGTGTGTGTGTGCGTCTGTATCTGTATGTGTGTGTCTGTGTATGTGTATGTGCATGTGTGTGAGTGTATCTGTGTCTGTGTGTGCATTTGCGTATATATGTGTGTGTCTGTATCTGTGTACGTGTGTGTATCTGCATGTGTATGTGTGTGTGTCTGTATCTGTGTGTGTATGTCTGTATCTGTGTACGTGTGTGTATCTGTGTACGTGTGTGTATCTGCATGTGTATGTGTGTGTGTCTGTATCTGTGTGTGTATGTCTGTATCTGTGTACGTGTGTGTATCTGTGTACGTGTGTGTATCTGCATGTGTATGTGTGTGTGTCTGTATCTGTGTGTGTATGTGCATGTGTGTGTGTCTGTATCTGTGTATGTGTGTGTGTATCTGTGTATGTGCATGTGCGTGTGTATCTGTGTGTGTGTGTGCGTGTGCGTGTGCGTGCGTGTGCATGCGTGCGTGCGTGCGTGCGTGCGTGGATGACAACTCACATGCTGGCCCTTCTTCCGCCACGCCTCCCGCTCCTCTGGGGTGAACTTACAGCTGATCACAGACATAGCTTGGATATATACAACATTGTACAACATTTGCACGAGGAAGTCAAAGTGTTCTGAAATGGAGAAAAATACAGCTACTACAACATACTGAGGTCAACATTATTCCCATGCTTTAAAACACAGATCTACAACAGAAGTGGCAGAATAGGGATAAGGGCTGACATGGTTTGAAATTATCTCTTTTTGCAAAGTAAACATATGTTACAACTAATAGTCTTTCAGATAGGAGTTTCAACTGTGTTGTGGAAAAATCCAACATTAAGACTCATCTATTCATTTTGTTTGTTTGTTTGTTGTGGTCCAGACAAACCACTGATTGACATGAGAATCGATCTACGTAATTGGGATTAAATGTGACAGTAGCCATCTCGGATTTGTATAAGTTGTTTCAAAGATGACAATAGTGATACATGGGCGATATTAATGCTTCAAAACATTATCCAGGTGGCTCTCAAATTTGCAGAATTTCAAGAACAGTGAAGTCTTTGTTGATGAGAAAATATATTTGAGTCACGGTTTTTAAATTAAATATCAAAGCAGAACAAATGTTACTGTCATGACAAGTCTCCTTAGTGAACTAAGGATTTTTACCCGCAACATCCCGAGACAGCTGATTTTACCTACCTTCTTTGATTGTTGCGGGGAGTGTCAGGATTAATTGAATAAGTAGAGATGTCGCATCCTTCAGCAAGAGTGGGACGTCTTTGTGGAACACAGATATGCTGGAAAATACAGTAATCATGTGACTGTCATGTGATTCTAGTGTTCATACTTTCAAGCCTATGGTTATCAGTATCTAATTCACAAGGACAGCCTCGTCTAAATAACAGTAAATTACTCAAAATGTTAACAGTTTGATTGGAGTTTCTGTGACAAGATGATTACACGTGCTTCCAACAGTTTTTATTTTTCACATTTTAGTCGCATTTTCGTACAGGGTTGCCAATGGTTACATTTTACATGCAAAAGGCAAAAATAATATAAAGTTGCTAAGACAGATCTCAAAAGCGTTGGCCTTCTTGTGAAATCATACAAATTAAAAAAATAAAATGTAGTTTTACAATAACTAAAAGAGGGACAATGCTCCTCTGTCTGTTACACATGTTCAGTATCGGTTTAGACTTTGTAATCAAGGCCCGGTTCCACAAAACGAACTTAGCACTACGACAACCATAACTTCCATTCTATAACCATCTTCCCAAGGCAACAGCGTTAACTCACTATAAAAGTCCAGTTTCCACCCTTGCCGAACAACGCTGGACTTCCAGATTTACATTTTGGCTGGTCTAACAAGTCTATGCATACTCAAATCAAAATCACGTAACAAAGTAGACATCCGGTTCGTAAACAACACGGATTTCAACATTTCGGGTGACTGCAGGATTTGCAATGCATGTGTACTGTCAACTGGGCGTTGACAGATATTTTGTTAATCTTTTCATGTTTTTAATCAAGGTCATAACAATGGACATAACTCCATAAAAGCCACTGGTGGTGCTACGAAAAATTCAAGAATACTTCGGCATGGGTAGAAAATGGACTTTATAGTCAGTTAATGCTCTTGCCTCGGGAAGATGTTCTCCAACATACACTTACGATAATCGTACTGCTAAGTAGGGCTGGGACGGTTAACTCGGGTACGGGTGGGTACTGAGTAGGACCCGGGTACCCACAGGACTACATGGACCCATGGCTAGTCACGTGATATATGGTTTAATGACAAAAATTATCTAGAACTCTATGGTTACGCTACAAGTCACTAATGATTGCATTTCTATTTGACCATGCACCCAATCCTTCTGACTTTTATATGTTTGAATAAAAATAAAACTTCAGTAAACTTCAGTGTATGCATGACCAGATACGTGTATCTAAATACATTTTGCCAGAGCTACGGTCAAACTTTTCCCAATCAGACAGTTTGTTCCTATCTCTTGTTGAGACCTACAGCGGGTACCTGGGTAGGGTTGGGTAATAGAGTGGTGGGTACTCGTCCCACACCTATTCCTCGACAACTTTGTAGAACAAGGTCCATTACATTGTGTGAAACTAAGACATTATTTATGTAATTAGGATGTTAATTTCTCTACGTAACTGTTAGTTAGATATACATAAAACAAATCAGTGTCTGAATCAAACATGGTGGGACTGTCAGTTTGCGAGAGTCTAGCTGACCTTTAAACACATTCATGCTTACCTTGTAGATTCTTCCGACAGCGTGACCCCCGTGATGTGGGCCCAGAGGTCGGTGTAGGGAGTGGGGCGCATGGTGAGGATCTTACTGTGCAGGCTCAGCACATGCATCAGGGGTACTGAAAGTGGCAAACACAGAAGTCTCCATGAATTTACTTGTTGGGCCCAAAAAATAATAGTCTTGGTTCATCATAAAGTCCTCCGCAAGTTTCGTTTGTATTTCCATTTAAAATTTTTATTAAAATCCTAATGCTTAAAAACAATGTGATCCAATAGGGCACACAGTTACTTCCCTTTACATGCACTCTGCTTTACTGCGCATCTCATGTTATGGTCATGGTGTCAATAGGAGTTTCTATGCTTCTTTATGTAGGGAGGCCCTTTCCCAGGCTGATGGTACACAACTGTTTATTTGGTTACATACTAATTTGAACAGCCAAAAATAAAAATAAAACACCGCCTGCCCGCACTCTATGTTTAAAAGTCATTGCCTGAGAACCAATTCTTTTTTTTCTTTAAGCCTTATTTACTGCACAAACACTTCCAATATATATGTCTCTGTTGAAGTAATTGTTTATTTGTTGTTTAACCCTGCACAGAACAATATTCCCAATACATTTGAGATTGGATCAGACAATTCAGTAGTGTACATAATAACCTCCCATGCTGCCGGGGTAAGATGACACACAATCAACCAGGTCACTGATTCAATTAGTTTTCTATGACAAAGAATAGAGTGGTGGGTGCTCACAGAGGCACCAGGAGGGTAGATACTCACAGAAACAGTTCTTCTTTGTGTAACCCTTGCCCTGCTGACTGTCCAGGGACCCCCCTCTTTGAAGGAGCTCGATTTCCAAATTGGTTCTGAAAACAATAGGAGTGACGATGTAAAACCACATGGCTTCTAAGATATCTGACCTGACGACATAGTAGACTAAATCCTCCCCACTGAACTGGAGACAGAGAAGACTGAACCCATCCCAATGAACTGGCAACAGAGATGACTAAAACCACCCCACTGAACTGGCAACAGAGAAGACTAAACCCACCCCACTGAACTGGCAACAGAGAAGACTAAACCCACCCCACTGAACTGGTGACAGAGAAGACTAAACCCTCCCCACTGAACTGGAGACAGAGCAGACTAAATCTTCCAGCTGACCTGGCAACAGAGCAGACGAAAAGCAGGACACTCTCCGAGGTCTGTGAGTGTGAGAAGACCTTGAATACTGCGTGCGTAGCATTCGTCAAATCCTCCATCACATTGCCCATCACCCGGGTCAGGTTGGCCGAACCCTGAAACAACAGATTACACTGGGCTACATGGGGGTCTTGGGGTGCTCATGGTATTCACTGAAATTGACATGGTTATTTTCTTTTGTCTGCTGTTGTATGGTGCAGTCAGCAATATTCCAGCTGTGTCAATCAGCCTGATAATAAACAGGCTTCATGCCATACAGTCAAACCTCTTTGTGTTCTGGTCCGTGAGAATTCCTTTCATATTTATCATCACTTATAGTCAGATCTGTTGAACTGGGTGTGTCGATTCCCGGTTGTCTCATTTGGGAGTCCAAAGTATCCAAATTAAGTAAAAAATTCCCCTGACGACACAAGCACTTCAAAACAAAAAATGGCGTCCATACACAAACAATCGGCAAACGTTCAACATTCAACTCACTTCACACACAAGTAACTGACCTCGATGCGATTGCCACAATTACATCAAAGGCATGGATGCTTTCTAAAATGATGGCGATATCCAATCGTGCTTAATTAACAAGCACACCTTACATCAAGGTGCAAGCTGATTACTGTATAGACATTGGCGCTGATGATATATTGTATCAAACGTAATTCAATTTAAATGCTCCAGTTGATTGACTTACCGGAGTTATGGGCCTTGTAACCATCATGTCCGCCAAGTCTCTGACCATGACCTCTGGGTCATGTGACACAGGTTTGACCAATGCCAGCTGGTTCTCGTCGGGCACGATCGGTACCACAGAGTTGGACAGCTGGCGACACAGGGGGCACCAGTACTCCCCCTTGCTGACCGCTAGCGGCTCGGGACGGTTCATGCTCTGAGACTACAGGAAAGACAAGGACGTTTAAGTGAGTGAGCGAGTCGGGTAGTTTATGACACTTATAACATCATATCAGTTATATCATGGCATGTCAGCTTGATGTGGAACGAAAGCAGGATGTTTAGGTGAGGTGAAATGGGGTTTAACGTCGCGTCCAAGATTATTGCACTTATATAGCGACGTGTATGTGTGTGTGTGTGTGGCTGCTTGTACTAGTCCGGACTGATGCCGATTTATAGTGCTAGCACACTGTGATACCATGCCACAGTTTAACATGAATACCCCACTCAGACACAGTATACTGAGTCCGAGCCGACCAGTCCTTGTTTTAGCCCCTTAATGCCGAGCACCAGACAGGGTAACAACAAGTACCATCTTTTAACGTCTTTTGGTATGACGCTGCTGGGGATTGAACCCCGGACCTTCCTCTGGGCGAATGCTCTACCATTAGACCACGGAGGCGGTCTCAGGCCACGGATAGGTGCTGATAAACCTAGAAATATAACTTGGATGGATCTGGGATTCAGAACCATGATCGTAAGTTTCTGGCATTCTTAAGAGACGTAACTCTGCCCAGGGAACTGTGATGCCTAAGACAAATGGGCCACCATGTCCGAAGAAATGTTTTAGGTTCATCCCTTGAACTGGTACGGAGACGAAATCAAATGTTAACAAACAGATGATGGAGCGATATACTACACACATTGTGCCATTCTGTAAGCTCTCAATCCTTTGGTCAATATGTCCAAATATAGACTTAAATATTCTTTTATATATAGGAAGTTTGTTTTTTCACTTTGTACGTACATGGAGAGACTGCATATAGGAGCTGTGGCAGTCCAGGTGGAGGTAATGTCCGCATGTCTGGACACACACACCTCCCTCCCAGCCGATGTTCACCGACATCTGACACGACCTCTGAAACAGCATTTTCATCATCATAAGCACACATCATCATCATCATCATAAGCACACATCATCATCACACAATCAATACAACCACATTATCATCGCAACCATACATCACAACAACCACATATCACCACAACCACATCATCATCACAACCACATACCGTATATGACCGCGTATAAGCCGAATTTTGAGGACCAGAAAAAAGATTCTGTAGAAAGGGGTCGGCTTATCCACGGGATACACTTTCATGATAGTATTTTTCAGATCGTGATCTGTCAGAAACATCGCCTGAATGACGGTCCGATAGATTACAACTTCCCGAAAGTTTGGAAGTTGCCACGACTAGAGCCATTATTGTTATAAATTATCAATAAAGTTATTATTATACACCAATGTTGTCATTATTAAAAAAATGTTATGCATGTTACTACTTCCGATAATAAGTTTTCAATTGAATGTTCAAAGTTTATCGTTCTTCGTAAACTCCACAATCTTTACATGTAACAATATATGTAATTCACAGCTATAATATATAATCCCCAGATAAAATCGCCAATAGCTATTACGTACGTTTTGCAAAGTTCATAAATTGATAGTGAACAAGTGTCTACCTTTATTGAAAGAGGCAAATAAACAACTGTATCGGCGAGTTATTCCGTTCGCCATTTGCAAAAACATGTGATCAGCTGTTTCCTGTGACGTCACAATCGGTGACCACTGTGATTGCTTCCTGTTGTTTAAAGCAACACGGTACACAAGGAAATGAGCATTGATAATAACGGGCCGATTGGTATTGTCAGGTTGTTTACACAAACATTTTCAAGTTGTGGGTGCTTAGCGATCGTGTTGGGAGTAGGGGCTTAATTCCTTTGTTTTCGAGAGATTAGTTTAATAAACTGGAAAAGCCTGTGAGTAAGTGATGGTCATTCAATGTGTTCATAGTATGATAGTTTATTTAATTCAATTGGATTAACATACAATATTGGTGTAAAGGGGGTTATAAAAGTTGGTATATTTTTACTGACTGACATTTTCATCATGAGTTTTAAACGAAAACGCCATGCTTACGATGCTGAATTCAAACTGCGAGTCTTCGCTCCAGCTGATATATTTTCTTACGGGTTCATAATTCTATATACACCGACTCACAAAATAGCGCTTGGTTGTTGATGGCAACATATAACGATCATTATGAGATTAAAAAAACCCACGAGAAACAGCTTCCCACATTATGAAAGTGGATGAATGGTTTGTTAAATCTTTATTAGAAATAATAATGACTTTTTCAATATAATCACAACGTTTTTCATCTTATATTTTTTAATATCTGCGAGTACCGGCACATGTCTTTCAGTCCGACTTCGCAGTGTTTTTTGTCTTTCAATTCCTGATTCGGCTTATCTGCGGGTCATATCATTTTCTTTCGTATTTCAATGGTCAAATTAACACCTCGGCTTATCTACGGGGTCGGCTTATCCGCGGTCATATACGGTAATCATCACAAGATCATTGTCACAACCACATCATTATTACAACCATACATGATCACAACACCCACATCATCACAAGTACATCATCATCACAACCTAAACATCAACACATTCACATCATCACAACATTATAATCACATCCACATTATCATCGCGACATCATCAGCAGTATTAGAAATTGGCACTAGTCTCATAGTCCTTGCCAAACTGCCCAATAGTTAAAGGGGAAGAGTACACGCAAAAATCACTTTCTTTCTTTTTCTAAACAAAACGCAATTTTAGAATTAGTTAGCATCTGTGTTTGAAAATATACACTCATTTTTCTTCACAGTGAAAGTAGGAAGCTCACAATAGTGTTAAAATAATATGCCGTTATGAGGCCTTCGTTTTACGAGCGAAATAGGCCTGAGTTATCCCCCTTAGATTATGACGTAATTGGTGCCAATTCAACTGGGTCCCTGTCTATTCTCAACGCAAAAGATATCAAGGACCAGTTTGCGGTAAAACAACATGGTCTACGACACACTCCGGCGCAGTGGTGAGTCAGCATAACACAATTCTGGCTGGCATCTGAGACGCTAGAATCACAAAACTGTACCTACACCACGTGAAGCGGCTCTAACAAAGCATGATGACGTCATAATGTTTATCAATTGGCACCAATGACGTCATATTGCAAGGGGCATAAGCCATGGTGTTTTTGTTATGGAAATAGAACACTTGGTTAATGTGAAAAATATAAATCGTTTTAATGCAAAAAATATGTTAATTAAATATGATGTTTTTATATTTTTGTCTATGACAGTTCTATGTTAACACTTTTAATGTGGAAAAAGTACAAGAAAAATTGGTTCATTTCCGTGTGAACTTGCCCTTTAAGGTATCATAAGGACTAGTAGAAATTTGCCATTTGTAAGGGTTTTGCTATAGATTATCATTATAAGGACGAGGGGACAAAAACTGATCACACCAACATCATCACAATAACATCATCATTAATTATTCCTGCCCTATCTAAAAACAAAAAGAGCATATTGTACTTCAGACCCCATCCAATAATTCACACAAGGGTTTAAGAGCATATTGTACTTCAGACCCCATCCAATAATTCACACAAGGGTTTAAGAGCATATTGTACTTCAGACCCCATCCAATAATTCACACAAGGGTTTAAGAGCATATTGTACTTCAGACCCCATCCCATAATACACACAAGGGTTTAAGAGCATATTGTACTTCAGACCCCATCCCATTATACACACAAGGGTTTAAGAGCATATTGTACTTCAGACCCCATCCAATAATTCACACAAGGGTTTAAGAGCATATTGAACTTCAGACCCCATCCAATAATTCACACAAGGGTTTAAGAGCATATTGTACTTCAGACCCCATCCAATAATTCACACAAGGGTTTAAGAGCATATTGTACTTCAGACCCCATCCAATAATACACACAAGGGCTTAAGAGCTTTTTGTACTTCAGACCCCATCCAATAATTCACACAAGGGTTTAAGAGCATATTGTACTTCAGACCCCATCCAATAATTCACACAAGGGTTTAAGAGCATATTGTACTTCAGACCCCATCCAATAATTCACACAAGGGTTTAAGAGCATATTGTACTTCAGACCCCATCCAATAATTCACACAAGGGTTTATCTATCTTGTTGGTTGTTAAGGCTTCTCTCAACAATGTTCCAACTATATGATGGTGGCCTGTAAATAACGGAGTTTGGGCCAGACAATCCAGTGTTATGCAATGATCCACACTAGGTACAATGACATGCAATCAGCCAAGTCACTCAGACTGCCCATCGATCTATTAAGCTGCAATGTATAAACAGCACCGGGAACCTCCAGCTTACCTCCTCAAAGTACTTCATGAGTGTCTCCAGGCGCTTCTTCTGGAAGTCGGAGCAGGTGGAGAAGTGTGGGCTGCACGTGGGGTCCAAGGACAGCATGTGAGGGTGATCCACTTGCTGCCTGTGGCCCAGCACTACAACACACAATAGACCCCTCTATTAAGTATGGCATTGGTCAGTAATGTAGGGCATAATATATTTACAGAATGCCACAGTTTCGCCATGCAGTATAAGATGTCTTGCGCATAGGAGAGACGTATGATTGGGGGTTCAAATCTTGATTGGTCCCAATGATGTTTCAGGATTGTCTGCACCATACTTATGCTCATGGGTTTCCGCAAAGTGGTAAATGTCTGTGACCTGCATCACTTCAGGCCTTCTTCCAACATCAAGTTGTCACACTGTGATATAACCTGAATACTGTTAAAAGCAGCGTTAAACCCACTCACTAGTATATCAGTTTTGGTAATGTGAAGGATTAGATATGAGTCCCATATTAACTATAGGTACTCAGGCATGAGCCTTTTGTCAGTATATGTCCCAGGGTGTAACCATGGTTATCATGATAATAACATACAAACATCAATGCACTGCACATGTTGATAGTAATGGGTCTGTCACCTGTAGAAAGGGTCACCTGGCCCTACACTTACCACTAGATGTCTGAAGGAACACCATCAGCCCTATGGGTCTGTCACCTGTAGAAAGGGTCACCTGGCCCTACACTTACCACTAGATGTCTGCAGGAACACCACCAGCCCTATGGGTCTGTCACCTGTAGAAGGGGTCACCTGGCCCTACATTTACCACTAGATGTCTGCAGGAACACCACCAGCCCTATGGGTCTGTCACCTGTAGAAGGGGTCACCTGGCCCTACACTTACCACTAGATGTCTGCAGGAACACCACCAGCCCTATGGGTCTGTCACCTGGCTCTACACTTACCACTAGATGTCTGAAGGAACACCACCAGCCCTATGGGCCTGTCACCTGGCTCTACACTTACCACTAGATGCCTGAAGGAACACCACCAGCTCTATGGGTCTGTCACCTGGCTCTACACTTACCACTAGATGCCTGCAGGAACACCACCAGCCCTATGGGTCTGCAACCTGTAGAAGGGGTCACCTGGCTCTACACTTACCACTAGATGCCTGAAGGAACACCACCAGCCCTATGGGTCTGTCACCTGTAGAAGGGGTCACCTGTCCCTACACTTACCACTAGATGCCTGCAGGAACACCACCAGCCCTATGGGTCTGTCTCCTGTAGAAGGGGTCACCTGGCCCTACACTTACCACTAGATGCCTGAAGGAACACCACCAGCCCTATCGGTCTGTCACCTGGCCCTACACTTACCACTAGATGCCTGCAGGAACACCACCAGCCCAATGGGTCTGTCTCCTGTAGAAGGGGTCACCTGGCTCTACACTTACCACTAGATGCCTGCAGGAACACCACCAGCCCTATGGGTCTGTCACCTGTAGAAGGGGTCACCTGGCTCTACACTTACCACTAGATGCCTGCAGGAACACCACCAGCCCTATGGGTCTGTCACCTGGCTCTACACTTACCACTAGATGCCTGAAGGAACACCACCAGCCCTATGGGTCTGTCACCTGGCTCTACACTTACCACTAGATGCCTGCAGGAACACCACCAGCCCTATGGGTCTGTCACCTGGCTCTACACTTACCACTAGATGCCTGCAGGAACACCACCAGCCCTATGGGTCTGTCACCTGGCTCTACACTTACCACTAGATGCCTGCAGGAACACCACCAGCCCTATGGGTCTGTCTCCTGTAGAAGGGGTCACCTGGCCACAAATCACACAGTCGTATGTCGTCTCTTTTGGTTTCATCACATCCTCATCTCCCTCTGGCTCATCATCTGTGAGAAACCAAGGTGTAAACACAGCAACATTTATTAGGACCATTGCAAAGATGAGCAGTAAGTGAGTGCATGTTGTTAATTGTAATAGCCAGCAACATTCTGTCTTCATGATGAGGCCTGCCAATAATTAAGTCTGGGCAAGGCAAACTAATGACTGAAAACATGAGCAACGATCTACAGGACAAATTTTGTTCAATCCTTTATATTTTCAATTGTTTCAGTATTTTGTAATTTATCACTCATTTCATCAGAAATTCAGCTGTCTTCATCTCCGTTTCTTACCGTCCACATCATCCTCCATCGTCTGTTCGATGAAGGCCTTTTGTTTCGAGGCAAACTCAGCCATCAACTTCTGTTGTCTCTGCCAGGCTTTCTTACGTCTGCAAAACACACATGAACATCAATCTGTCCATACAACATGTGGCTTTCATTTTCTTGCTGGGGCGGTCGGGTAGCCTAGTGGTTAAAGTGTTCGCTCGTCACACCGAAGACCCAGGTTCGATTCCCAACATGGGTACAATGTTTGAAGCCCATTTCTGGTGTCCCCCGCCAAGATATTGCTGGAATATTGCTAAAAGCGATGTAAGATCAAACTCACTCACTCACTCATTTTCTTGCTGCTTGCAGTATTGCTATAACATGGGTACAGACTGTACCAATCTGAATTGAAGCCACTTCAACATGGCAAGTTACAACTAATCTATCCACCACCCAAACTTGAAATGACAACTTTGATCATAGTACTGGCACATGGAGCCGAACTATTGCGACCGCCTCTGTGATGTAGTGAATACAGCTTCTGCCCAGAGAGTGGAAGGTTGATGTGTTGATGCCCGGCCATGTATTAGACCAAAAGATGGTACTTGTTGTTACCCCCCCTGTCGCTCAGCAATAAGGGTGTGAGTGAGTGAGTATGGTTTTACACCGCTTTTAGCAATATTCCAGCAATATCACGGCGGGGGACACCAGAAATGGGCTTCACACATTGTACCCATGTTGGGAATCGAACCTGGGTCTTAGGTGTGAAGAGCGAACGCTTTAACCACTAGGCTACCCGACCGCCCCTCAGCATTAAGGGGATAACTAGTCGGTATACTGTGTCTGAGTTGTGTTAAACTGTGGCATGGTATCACAGTGGGCAAGCACTATTAAACCAGCATTATTCCAACAATATTGCAGCTACATGACAGTGGCCTGTACATAGAGTCTGGACCACACAAACCCATGATTGTCGTGAGCAATGACCCACTCCATGTAAGGGTATGATGACACGCTATCAGTCAAGTCACTGAGTCCCCAAAATACTGAATAAAGAATCTTGAATCTTGAAGTCACCGAGTCTGGCCACCCGATCCAGTAAGTTGAACCTATAACCTTATTTTCGCGCATGTCAAAGTTAAGTAACTCTGTACAGTGAATTATGGCACCTTGGACAATTGGGCCACCCATGGTCCCCTACAGAGAGCTACATCAGGTATCAGTACTAAAGAAGCTACGGCCACCCTAGTCCTACTTCCCCAATGAATCATGTCACACTAAACACTCACTTGGTTTCTTTGTCCACATTTTGTCCCTGTGCCTTCTTGTCCGTTTCATCGGGCCACAGCGCTCGGTAGGTGTCGTGTACGATTCTGCCACACTCCGTGCTCATCTCACACAATCTATCCAACAGTTTCCCCACAAACACAGGACCGTCCCCGATCAGGGTCTTCACAGACTCCCTCTTCTTTACCGACATCGGCACATACGACCCCGACTTCCCCGACAGTTTGCAGTGCAGCTTCAGCAGCAGCGACAGAAGGCTTTCGTTGACGCTGACACGAGACAGGTGTACTTGTTCTGTCGACATGCCTCTGCTTTCGTACTTGGGCTTCACTGTATGGGCTGTGCTGGTGCCTGTTGCCTTGGTGATGGTGCATGCTGCCGTCCCTGATGAAGGTCCCGGAATTGAGATCATGGAGGGGAGGTTGAACTGAGCTGCCGTGATAGGACCTCCCATAGCTGTGGAAAGGAATTAAATAACATGTGAGTGAGTATGTTTTACGCTGCTTTTAGCAATATTCCAGCAATATCACGGCAGGGGACACCAGAAATGGGCTTGACACAAATAGAATCTAAGGTCCATAGGAGAGATCATAGTATGTAAGAGGTAAGTGATGGCTTCACTGCATTGATCATGTACATCAAACGAATAAGTGTTAGAACCATCATTTCAACCACAAAACAAATGTCTGCACAGCATCCTCAGACAAATCACTGGTTAATTGTGAAATACTGTTAGACTGGAACCAGTGTCAAGCAAACCACACCCCACTTACATTAAACTCTACCTACTGACATGAAACTCCATCCACTTTGACTAAACAAAATGATAGTCTTGGTTCTCAGGCACTGCCCGTATCATCATAAAGCGTGCTGCATGTTTCACTTTTATTTCCATTTTCATAAAAATAAAAAAATCCTAAGACTTTAAAACAAAATAACACACAGTTACTTCCCTTTACATCTTGAGTTATAATCATGGCAACAATAGGAGTTTGTATGTTTGGTTATGTAGGGAGGTTGATGGTACACAACTGTTTATTTGGTTACATACCAGTTTGAACAACCCCCCCTCCAAAAAACCCGAAAAAAACACTGCCCGCCCGCACTATATTTTTAAAAGCATTGCCTGAAAACTAATTCTTTTATTTTTTTAAGCCTTACCTAAAACTCTATCCACTTATATGAAACTCTATCCAACAAAATGAAGTTCCATCCTCTTATATGAAGTTCCTACTACTTAATGAAACTTTACCCACATACATGAAGCTCCACCCACTTACATAAAAACTCTATCCCCTTACATGAAGCTCCACCTACTTACATAAAAACTCTATCCCCTAACATGAAGCTCCACCCACTCACTATTATGAAGCTCCACCAACTTACATGTAGCTCCGCCCACATACATGAAGCTCCGCCCACTTACATGAAGCTCCGCCCCCATAGATGAAGCTCCGCCCACTTACATGAAGCTGCACTTGGCGCCAACTGGAACATCTCCTCTAGGGTGCTGGTGTCGTTGTCCATGCTGATAGTGCACATGTCACTGCTGTTCGTCTCCACCACCAGGCGGCTCTGGAAGCTCACCTCACTTATCACCTCACACGCATTCTGCTTGATGTCGGACGTGGAGAACCACCGGTGGTACTTGCCGTCCATCACAGTGCTGGCTGGGCTGCAGCCCTACAGGAGATTCACGCAGATGTCAATCAAGGGTCTTGAAACTTTCTAGGGATTCATATGGAATTGGGTGCTTTGATGCAGGACATGTGTCATAACTTCCATACTTTAACACAGACTTACGCCACTTATAGCAATACGATTGCCTTGTGAAAAGGGCCAGTGTTCCTTAAAATGATCTACATGTCTAATAGTATCATAACTCAATGGTTCAACAAGATATGAAGTTCTCAATAAAGATCACTTCTTTTCTAATAATAAAAAGGTTTTTCCACTGCTTGACTTGGCCAAATACTTGACAACACTGGTTTATCACACATGGCTACTGACTTCATCTTAAACACTTGGAAGGATCATAACAGTTTACCAAGCAGTGAACGGGTACCCGGTAGGATGGGATGGAAATGTAAAAGGCTGAACCTTCGAGCCAGATGGGCTGACTGGGTTGTATGCTCCGAAGGGATTTGTGAACACAAATCAATGTATACTAAGTTTGTTGACTGGAGTCTGTTGACTGGGTAATAATTGTACAAGCTATGAGAATGCATTGTGTGGCAATATCCCTATATGAACGTACACATTATCATTATTATTATTCTGTAAGAAGCATACTAAAAGACCACTCCCCCTGACTGAGAGCTGCTTACCTTGCGTGATGTCTGAGGAGGGCTGTAGGTGACACACAGGTCGAGCAGGTGAACACAGTGGTAAAGAACACTCTCTGGAACGTTGGAGTCCTTCGCTAGGGCCTGCACACACAATAATGGGTGAGACTGGGTATGTTTTACTGAATCATGTGTGCACAGCTGATTGCTATTTCCGGCTTAGTTTACGAGAAAATACACGCGGTAATCTGAATCTCTGCATATAAAACAATGTCTTGGAAAGCAGGAAATACATCTTAAATGGTAAATCATCATGCCTAGTGATGTTTTATATCAAATTTCATACTTTTATTGACCAAGTTTGTTATGCCTGTTTATTCACCTGAAGTCGTTGAAAGGTTACGATAACGCTCATCAATTATTTGGACCCCGAAGGTAGCGTTGTTTGTTTTTTAAAATGTCCGGACAGAAAAATTTAAATGTCCGGTAAGCAATATTTTAATCGGGACATTTGAGATTCCAAATCGGACATGTCCAGGGCATATGTCCGTTTCCGGACCCCTGGGTGAGAGGATAGGATTTAACACAGCTTTTGACAATATTACAGCCATATCACGGTGAGGACACCGCGAATAATAAACGTCACTCACTTTTTACTGTTGGGATTGTTTGGTTTTTTTATCCCTTCTCTCACAAAAATCCAGGGCTCTGCTATAATATAAAATGGCTCACCAGATATTCACTGTTTCAGTTCTAGACTAGTGGACTAATGATCATAGGGTTTCACTGAACCATTTCTACCAGGAAGTATTTGATGATGGAGATGGGTGTCCACCGCCAAAACATCCCAAATGAATCAGAAGGGCCCTGTAGGGTGGGTGTGTGCCTTTACCAAATGACTCAGATGGGCCTTGTAGGGTGGGTGTGTGCCTTTACCAAATGAGTCAGATGGGCTCTGTAGGGTGGGTGTGTGCCTTTACCAAATGACTCAGATGGGCCCTGTAGGGTGGGTGTGTGCCTTTACCAAATGAGTCAGATGGGCCCTGTAGGGTGGGTGTGTGCCTTTACCAAATGAGTCAGGTGGGCCTTGTAGGGTGGGTGTGTGCCTTTACCAAATGAGTCAGATGGGCCTTGTAGGGTGGGTGTGTGCCTTTACCAAATGAATCAGATGAGCCCTGTAGGGTGTGTGCCTTTACCAAATGACTCAGATGGGCCCTGTAAGGTGGGTGGGTGCCTTTACCAAATGACTCAGATGGGCCCTGTAGGGTGTGTGCCTTTACCAAATGACTCAGATGGGCCCTGTAGGGTGGGTGAGTGCCTTTACCAAATGAGTAAGATGGGACCCTTGGGCCTATACATGGACAGCAAGGTAGACAAGTCCCTATAGGGTGGGTGTACCTTGTGCAGGACTGTGAAGAGGAAGGCATGCATGGTCCGGCAGTTGAGGATCCTGTACAGCCCCTTATACTGCTGGTTCACGGGGCTGGGGCTGCGGAATGGGGGCCACGGCGGGGTCTTGCTGGTGTACTTCCCACTCTGGCGAACTCTGAAACAGATATTGATGTGATCATGATGATGCAGATGTAACAATTCCTCATGAACTTTGGACAAAAAACTGAATAATGGACAAATACCATGAAGAGTTTTTTCTTTGTTACTCACTTTGTTAATATTCTCGTCTTACTATCAGCAGATCAGGCTCAATATCATAAATCCTTGGGGCCACCATCACACCAACACTGGCACTTTATTTTTTATTTGTAGTGAGGAGCTTAACAGCCATTCCAGATTATTACACTTATATATAGCAATATGTATGCATGTGTGTGTGGCTGCTTGTACTAGTCCGGACTGATGCCGGTTTTACCATGCTAGCTCACTGAGATACCATGCCGCAGTTTAACATGGATACCCTACTCAGACACAGTGTCCTATCTCCGAGCCGGCCAATCCTTGTTATATCCCCTTAATGCCGAGCGCCAGACGGGTAACAAGAAGTTCCATCTTTTAATGTCTTTCGCTATGATGCAGCCGGAGATCGAACCACCAACCTTCTGGGCAGACTCTCTACCACTAGACCACGGAGGCAGTCCAACCAAATAGAAATCTTGAAATGCTATGTGAGTGAATGTTTAATACCAAAGTCAGCAACATTCTGAAGGTGGCCATAAATAACTGAGCCAGACAAACCAGAGGATGACATTATGAGCAACATCCCTTGCCATCATGGGATGATCCCCCAGACACAGTCAGTGTCCGAAATAACTGCCTGCCCCTGGCTGGTGTGTTTGTTTGTTTGTTGTTTAACACTGCAGAAAGCAATATTCCAGCTATATGACAGTGGTCAGTAAATAATCGTGTCTGGACCAGACAATCCAGTGATTTACATCATGACCATTGATCTACGCAACTGGGATATGACATGCATCAACCAAGTCTGTGAGAGTGACCACCCAATCCTGTGAATCGCCTCTTATGACAGGCATAGTTGCCTAGATCTAATCTAGCCTGGATCTTATAGGGTCTTGTGGCTGGTAACTTTTCTGTCAGGCTGCATGAAATTTTCATAATTTGTATTCAGCTTATTAGAGATTCTCAGGTAATTGTTTGCTGAATCAAGACGCGATTTGTCTCTTGTTTTTGTGATTTTTCAATACTTCTAATGTCTGAAGCAGGCAGGCAGGCACCACTTATGGGTCACCTGCCCAACTGTCTTTTACGGTTTTGATTTGTTCAAACACTGCAAACAGCCACCTGATCAACAGACTCTGTTACAAGAAGTAATAGCATGCTGGAGACCTGGGCCCCGTTCCTCAAAGCGATCTTAGCACTAAGGCGATCGTAAGGCCCATACTGTATCATAGACTTACCGTCCTCGTAGTGCTAATATCGCTTTGAGGAACGGGGCTCTGGGTTCCAGCAGGGGTCGTAGGGCTAACAGATGAAAGAGACGATTACTGCTGTAAATGTTGGCATAAGCTCAAGTGTTTCGTCAATACAGCCTAATTCCCTGATGATGTTGAGGTGGTGAGAGTGGGATAACTCACTGTTCTGTGTATCTGTCTAGAGACGACTGCAGATCTTTCCGATAGATGGCACGGAGAGCTACGTGGACCGGGTCGTAATCCTTCTCCCACACCTCAGCTGTACACAAACACATGTAAGTTGGGTCTCTATGCATACATATACTGCATGGGGCGTCAATACAAGACTACTTACATATTCACTAATATTATAACTCATAGATTCTCAAGTAATTGTTTTCCATTATTTCAAACGAATCAAGATGTGATTTGTCTCTTTTTTTCACTATTTTTCAATGTTTATAATCATGATAATGTCTGAATGCAGGCAGGTAGTTTGGCAGCCAACATTTATGGGTCACCTGCCATGTTGAGTTTTAAAATTATTTCACACACTGCATGTAGGGCTTGGAGAATCAAACAGTGGCTCCAGGCAACTGGAGGTGAGGTGAAATGGTGTCTAACGTCGCATCCAAGATTATTGCACTTATATAGCGACGTGCATGTACGTGTGTGTGTGGCTGCTTGTACTAGTACGGACTGATGCCGATTTATAGTGCTAGCTCACTGAGATACCATGCCGCAGTTTAACATGAATACCCCGCTCGGTCACAGTATACTGACTCCGAGCCGACCAGTCCTTGTTTTAGCCCCTTAATGCCAAGCGCCAGACAGGGCAACAACAAGTACCATCTTTTAACGTCTTTTGGTATGACGCGGCCGGGGATGGAACCCAAGACCTTCCGCTCCCCTGGCGGACGCTCTACCACTAGACCACGGAGGCGGTCCCAGGCAACTGGAGGCAGCAACACTGGGCTTCCACTTGACCACCTGGGATTTCCCAGGAGCTGACTGTATTCTGGATGAGGCTGACACAGGCTTACCTTTCGGTACATACGTCCCTTGCTGCATCTTTCCTCCCATGGCAAACACTGGAGCTTTGTAGTCAGCAATCTGGGTCAGAAATCCTAAATTAGTTAAGCAATCAAATTTCATTTCCTGTCCATTCCTAATTTTGGATAATTCCCATTGTTTCTTTTCGCTTGATCATGTTGATTCCCAAACTTTAGTTGACAACTATGGCTGCTTGCACCAGAGCACATGGTGGTCAGCGTTAACCAGACCCATTTTTATATTCAAATTATTGACATTTGATCTGTTCTCCTACATGCTGATGTTACATCAATGTAGCGGCCATGACAGTTTTCATTCAAGCTCAGACACCTTGTCCACATGAACAAAGAGCTTATCCCTATTTAAAGCTGACAAGGTACAGATGTCACCTGTGGGACATAAAATAAAATAAAACTCTATCTAAACAACAGTTCACTGACCTTCTTGAGTGTTGGTTCAAACAGCTCCTTCCCATGTCCTGGCACTCCAGACTTCTCCGGCATCAAGTCCATCAGCTGACTGTGTTGTCTGTCACTCATACACAGCAGCGACGCCATCTCTAGCCTCACCAAGTCCTTCTCTCCTACACCTGGACATACAAACACACAACAGTCATCCCCAAGTCTGTTTCTCCTTCACCTGGACATACAAACACACAACAGTTATCACCAAGTCCTCTCCTACACCTGGACATACAAACACACAACAGTCATCACCAAGTCCTCTCCTATACCTGGACATACAAACACACAACAGTCATCACCAAGTCTGTCTCTCCTATACCTGGACATACAAACACAAAACAGTTAACACCAAGTCCTCTCCTACACCTGGACATACAAACACACAACAGACATCACCAAGTCCTCTCCTACACCTGGACATACAAACACACAACAGTCATCACCAAGTCCTCTCCTATACCTGGACATACAAACACACAACAGTCATCACCAAGTCATTCTCTCCTATACCTGGACATACAAACACACAACAGTCATCACCAAGTCTGTCTCTCCTATACCTGGACATACAAACACACAACAGTCATCACCAAGTCTGTCTCTCCTATACCTGGACATACAAACACACAACAGTCATCACCAAGTCCTCTCCTATGCCTGGACATACAAACACACAACAGTCATCACCAAGTCCTCTCCTACACCTGGACATACAAACACACAACAGTCATCACCAAGTCATTCTCTCCTATACCTGGACATACAAACACACAACAGTCATCACCAAGTCCTCTCCTACACCTGGACATACAAACACACAACAGTCATCGCCAAGTCCTTCTCTCCTATACCTGGACATACAAACACACAACAGTCATCACCAAGTCCTCTCCTATACCTGGACATACAAACACACAACAGTCATCACAAAGTCCTTCTCTCCTATGCCTGGACATACAAACACACAACAGTCATCACCAAGTCCTCTCCTACACCTGGACATACAAACACACAACAGTCATCACCAAGTCCTCTCCTACACCTGGACATACAAACACACAACAGTCATCACAAAGTCCTCTCCTATACCTGGACATACAAACACACAACAGTCATCACCAAGTCCTCTCCTATACCTGGACATACAAACACACAACAGTCATCACCAAGTCCTCTCCTATACCTGGACATACAAACACACAACAGTCATCACAAAGTCCTTCTCTCCTATGCCTGGACATACAAACACACAACAGTCATCACTCTGTCTGTCTCCCTCTCTGCTATACCTGCACATGTAAAAGAAATGTTACCCACACAAACTTTGACTCGTCCGCTCACCCGGAATTGTGCCGAGGGCAATTATAAATGTAAGTCTTTAAGAAGACTCTCTCCTACACAACATTCTGTACGCCCCCACTTACCTAGGTAGGTGCGGACCCCAAGCAGTGTTGCAAACAGAGACAGGGCACCTTCAACCATGGCCATTTCATGTTCCGAACGATCTCCAGGATCCGAATCAGGGGAAAAAGACAGCCAGTCTAAGATGTTGAATCTGTGCAAGTACATCAAGACGTTACAAAGAATAAAACATCCAGCTTATACGACAGGCTTGAGGCAATTGGGGGTCAATTCTGCAGAAACCTGGCACAGTCATTCCATTCATGCTCATTGGAAGAATAGGATAACTGATGCCAAAGTTGGCCAAAAAGAGTCCATTATCATGATATATAATAGGGTTCACTCACACATAATTAATCAGCTGTGTTAAGGAACTTAATGCCTCTCTTGTCTCCATGGTAACACATATGTAAGAATACACTTACCTTTCCAGTACAGTATTCACAAAATAGTCTGGATCCAACTGTGAAGCACAAACCTGCAAATAACACACACAGGGGTGAGAATGTTTTTACCCCAAAACACTAAAAATTAGCCTGGGTTCTGTGGGTAAATGAGTGAGTTATGTCTAATTAACATTATACAGTATCTCAGTTTTATAATTCTCAGCTTCATATGGGAGGACAAAAACACAGCATCAAAGGTATTGAATGTATTGACCACCGTTTTAACTGATGTACGGTGCTGAAAGAACAATGTCTTAATGTCATGTTCAAGATGACTGCACTTGTATAGCAACGTGCATGCATGTGTATGAGGCTGCTTGTACTAGTTTTAACTTTTACCGGTTTTATAGAGCAGGCCACTGAGATACCATGCTGCAGTTTAACATTGATACCCCATGGATACAGTATACTGACTCCGAGCCAACCAGTCCTTGTTTTATTCTCTTAATGCCGAGCGCCAGACAGGATAACAACAAGAGTTTTGTCTTCATTGGTATGACACAGCCAGGGATCAGTGTTGATAATTGCTGCAAATCTGGAATTCTAACTTGATAAATCCCATTACTTTTGAGGATTGCAATTCATTAACAATTTAAAACGATACATATGTATGTGTGGGAGATCTAATCAAACAAATTTACTACCGGACCCAGCTTTCTTTGACAAGTCCCACTCAAAAAAAGAACCACTAAAGCCAGTTATCTTCCCTTAGGTTTCAATGTACCTTGAGAAAGTACCACGTTAATGTCTTTGCATTGGGAAAAAAACCATCAAAACTCATTATTGCGTGTATAATGCACACCTCCTTCCACAGAGCTGTGTTTTTTAGAAAAAAAGTGTGCACTGTCCTCAAGAAAATCTGGCAGTACTGACCTGTAGGAGGTAGATGTCAGCGTCTGCCATGGAGTAGCAGAAGTGGCACTGGATGTAGGTCATTGCCTGACCTTTGATCTGTATCCCATTCCGTACCCACATGTTGGCAAATATCTGAGCCAGACACACCTGGAATACAAGACATAGAGAAGCCCTGTTCATCCCGACTGTACTGTTCCCTGTGAAACTTACTTGATAAACAAACATCTGGACATCTAAGGAATGTCCTTTACACACATAGACGTCCAGTTTCACTTTATGCTGGTTTACAAGATCTTAACATATTTTTTTCACATTTCTTTCCTGTTACACTTTGGTAACATTTGATTTCACCCATTTTTGAGTACTGACCTGAATCTGAAGGACATGGACCACTATCTTCTTGACGAGTGCATCTTCTGGCAGGATGTCAGTGAGGACCACGCCCTGATGGAGGACAGCCTGCATCATGAACACCGCCAGGTAGCGATGGAGAGGTAGGTGGAATGTCAGGTGATACGGGTTGGGCTGAAGATTGGAAATGAAAAACTTGACATAAACTGTATCCTGCCTTGGAGGGGAATAAATTTCTCAGCAGGTGAATAAATCCCTTATACCCCACCATGAACAAGACAGGCTGCACTTGCATTTCTGAGAGGCAGAATAAATCCCTTATAGCTTGCTTATAAGCAAAAAAAACGCACGCTTTTTCCGAGTCAATGGAAGTCACGTGTCATAGCACAAGTTAACCTCAGCTCAATCAAACAGCTGTTTTCAATCAATTTTGAATTTGTTTTAATTCTTTTACAATGTCATATTAAAACAGTTCGGTAAGATAAATTTGTTGTAGCAGGATCACTTGGGGTACATGGGGTTTTATGCGTCCCTTCACATTCCCATGGCAGTTGATAAAAATAAAACAGAAATAGAAGCAGCCAAGGCTGAATACCTTCATATTCCCATGGCAGTTGATCAAAATAAAACAGTAATAGAAGCAGCCAAGGCTGAATACCTCCATATTCTCATGGCAGTTGATCAAAGTAAATCAGTGATAGAAGCAGCCAAGGCTGAATACCTTCATATTCTCATGGCAGTTGATCAAAGTAAAACAGTAACAGAAGCAGCCTTGGCTGAATACCTTCATAAACTCATGGCAGTTGATCAAAGTAAAACAGTAATAGAAGCAGCCAAGGCTGAATACCTTCATAAACTCATGGCAGTTGATCAAAGTAAAACAGTAATAGAAGCAGCCAAGGCTGAATACCTTCATATTCTCATGGCAGTTGATCAAAGTAAAACAGTAATAGAAGCAGCCAAGGCTGAATACCTTCATATTCTCATGGCAGTCGATCAAAGTAAAACAGTAATAGAAGCAGCCATGGCTGAATACCTTCATATTCTCATGGCAGTCGATCAAAGTTAAACAGTTATAGAAGCAGCCAAGGCTGAATACCTTCATATTCTCATGGCAGTTGATCAAATAAAACAGTAATAGAAGCAGCCATGGCTGAATACCTTCATATTCTCATGGCAGTTGATAGCCAGGAACCAGTCCTGAAGGGCCACTTGAGCAGCAGCGATCATTCTGAGTGAGAAGGAGGCCGTACTCTGCAACACAATACATGTCATAATTACACTGTCCTACAGCAGTCAGGGGAGAAACAACATATACTACTGGTGAGAAAAATATATACTACTGGCAAGAAACAACATATACGAATGCCGAGAAACAACATATACTACTGGCGAGAAACAACATATACCACAGAAGAGAAACAACATATACTGCTGGCGAGAAACAACATATACTGCTGGCAGGAAACAACATATACTACTGGCGAGAAACAACATATACTACTGGCGAGAAACAACATATACTACTGGCGAGAAACAATATATACTACTGGCGAGAAACAACATATACTACTGGCGAGAAACAACATATACTACTGGCGAGAAACAACATATACCACAGAAGAGAAACAACACATACTACTGGCGAGAAACAACATATACTACTGGCGAGAAACAACATATACTACTGGCGAGAAACAACATATACTACTGGCGAGAAACAACATATACCACAGAAGAGAAACAACATATACTACTGGCGAGAAACAACATATACCACAGAAGAGAAACAACATATACTACTGGCGAGAAACAACATATACTACTGGCGAGAAACAATATATACTACTGGCGAGAAACAACATATACTACTGGCGAGAAACAATATATACTACTGGCGAGAAACAACATATACTACTGGCGAGAAACAATATATACTACTGGAGAGAAACAACATATACTACTGGCGAGAAACAACATATACTACTGGCGAGAAACAACATATACTACTGGCGAGAAAACATCATATACTACTGGAGAGAAACAATATATACTACTGGAGAGAAACAACATATACTACTAGCGAGAAACAACATATATTACGGGCGAGAAACAACATATACTACTGGAGAGAAACAACATATATCACTGGCGAGAAACAACATATACTACAGGCGAGAAACAACATATACTACTGGCGAGAAACAATATATACTACTGGCGAGAAACAACACATACTACTGGCGAGAAACAATATATACTACTGGCAAGAAACAACATATACTACTGGCGAGAAACAACATATACTACTGGCGAGAAACAACATATACTACTGGAGAGAAACAATATATACTACTGGCGAGAAACAACATATACTACTGGCGAGAAACAACATATACAACTGGCGAGAAACAACATATACCACAGAAGAGAAACAACACATACTACTGGCGAGAAACAACATATACTACAGGCGAGAAACAACATATACTACTGGAGAGAAACAACACATACTGCTGGAGAGAAACAACAGATACTACAGAAGAGAAACAACATATACCACAGAAGAGAAACAACATATACCACAGAAGAGAAACAACATATACTACTGGAGAGAAACAACACATACTACTGGCGAGAAACAACATATACTACAGGCGAGAAACAACATATACTACTGGAGAGAAACAACACATACTACTGGCGAGAAACAACACATACTACTGGTGAGAAACAACATATACTACAGGCGAGAAACAACATATACTACAGGCGAGAAACAACATATACTACTGGAGAGAAACAACACATACTACAGAAGAGAAACAACACATACTACTGGCGAGAAACAACATATACTACTGGCGAGAAACAACATATACTACAGGCGAGAAACAACATATACTACTGGAGAGAAACAACATATACTACTGGAGAGAAACAACACATACTACTGGAGAGAAACAACATATACTACAGAAGAGAAACAACATATACTACTGGCAAGAAAGAACATATACTCCTGGAGAGAAACAATATATACTACTGGAGAGAAACAACACATACTACTGGAGAGAAACAACATATACTACAGAAGAGAAACAACATATACCACAGAAGAGAAACAACATATACTCCTGGAGAGAAACAACATATACTACTGGAGAGAAACAACACATACTACTGGCGAGAAACAACACATACTACTGGTGAGAAACAACATATACTACAGGCGAGAAACAACATATACTACAGGCGAGAAACAACATATACTACTGGAGAGAAACAACACATACTACAGAAGAGAAACAACACATACTACTGGCGAGAAACAACATATACTACTGGCGAGAAACAACATATACTACAGGCGAGAAACAACATATACTACTGGAGAGAAACAACATATACTACTGGAGAGAAACAACACATACTACTGGAGAGAAACAACATATACTACAGAAGAGAAACAACATATACTACTGGCAAGAAAGAACATATACTCCTGGAGAGAAACAATATATACTACTGGAGAGAAACAACATATACTCCTGGAGAGAAACAACATATACTACAGAAGAGAAACAACATATACCACAGAAGAGAAACAACATATACTACTGGAGAGAAACAACACATACTACTGGCGAGAAACAACATATACTACAGGCGAGAAACAACATATACTACTGGAGAGAAACAACACATACTACTGGCGAGAAACAACATATACTACTGGCGAGAAACAACATATACTACAGAAGAGAAACAACATATACTACTGGCGAGAAACAACATATACTCCTGGAGAGAAACAACATATACTACTGGCAAGAAACAACATATACTCCTGGAGAGAAACAATATATACTACTGGAGAGAAACAACATATACTACAGAAGAGAAACAACATATACTACTGGCAAGAAACAATATATACTACTGGAGAGAAACAACATATACTACAGAAGAGAAACAACATATACTACTGGCAAGAAACAACATATACTACTGGAGAGAAACAACATATACTACTGGAGAGAAACAACATATACTACTGGCGAGAAACAACATATACTCCTGGAGAGAAACAACATATACGACAATGAAATGCTAGAATTTGATGTATAAATGAATGCCGATCTCCTTTAATCTTTAAGGGAATCAGTATATGTTGTCATGCCATGTGACATAAATTCTTCTCTTTATATAAGTTGCCTTAAATCTTTCAACCATATACAGTATACCATATTCTCTGTATTAAGTGCCCCTGACCAACCTTTAGACTTTTCTGCAAGTAATCTTCATAAGTGCCCGTACTACGACTAGAAGTTTACTTGAATGCTTATTTTCTTGTGCATAATAAACAATTTTACAGAAAATACAACATACACACAGACATTGACTTGTGACCTTGTTTCCCAAAGTGAACACATTACTGCTGGCATCCTCTCTCCAGACATACTATGTCAACAAACTCGTGAATGTTATTTTTAATAAGCTGCCTGACAATGTAAAGTTAGTGCCAACAACTCTTATTACGGCAACTTTGGTAATATTTGGTATACTTTAACATCACAGAGAAATAAGACAATATTTATCCAGAGTTCCTGTCTTACAAAAATTCCGCGGTCCCAGATATTGGTCGTACTCCCTCACTACATAATGCAAAATAGTCAACGCATCGTATGTTTGGGAATAACATTTTGCTGTGACCCAAGAGGACGTACCCGTGTTTTACAGTGAGCTAGAAGGGACCACATGAGAGAGGCTGCGATCTCAACCTCGGCGGAGAACGCTGCGTAGTACGAGTCCGCCTCAAACTGGACATGCTGCTGTAGTTCGCGCTGATTCAAGTTCATCCCTGAACATAGGAAACAATCATTAAAGAAGCTACAAGGGTGAGTGAGTGGGAGTTTACACGGGTTTTAACAATATTCCAGAAATATCATGGTAGTGGAGACAAGGGATGATCCAGGGTAGACACCATTGGTCATATCCAAATTGTCCGGAGTTCATATCTCACTAGTGGTTTATGCATAATATCTAGATTATAGTTGAAAACAACTAGACCCTTTTGTTTTTCACTTGTCTCAGACTAATGGACTAGTGGCATCCTTATCGACTATCAAGTATCCTTCACAGTCTGAGAGAAGAGTGTACAGGATTTTCACAAGCCGAATGGTTTTGGTTTGGTTTGTTGTTTAAGGCCGCACTCAGCAATATTCCAGCTATATGACGGTGGTCTGTAAATAATCAAGTCTGAACTAGACAATCCAGTGATTAATATCATGAGCATCAATCCACGCAATTGGGATCGATGACATGAGTGAGTTTAACCCTGCTTTGAACAACATTCCAGTTAAATCATGGTGTGTCATCCTAATTTGGGTGAGTGAGTGTGAGTGAGTGAGTAAATTTAGGAAAGTAAGAACTTAATAATGATTGAACAAAATAACGATAACATTTACACGCCATCACATGTTTCTTGTCTGACCTTGCAGATAGGACAGGAGCTCCATCCACATGGTGACCAGCTCCTCATCCTGCAGGAACTTGGAGGCTACGGAGGAGTGGGTGAGGAGGTTGGTGAGGTCGCTGATGATGGGCCAGTAGCAGTGAGACTTCATCACGTCATTACTACAGTCCACTACATTGTGGAAGTTGTTGGCTGGGTCTGGATCTGCAACAACAACAAGGCAGATGAACACTAGCTGACAGTGAACACTTGTTGTTGTTTAAAGCCATACTCCTCACTTCTACCTGAGGCAACAGAGTTAACTGACAGTGAAAATCCAGTTTCATCCCTTGCCGAAATAGGCTGAAATTCTGGAAATTACATTTAGGCCGGACTAATGTGTCTATTCCTCGTCCAACCAAAAACACACAACTAACTAGACATCCGGTTCGTAAACAAAATGGTTTTCAAGGTTTCGATAGACTCCAGGATTTGCAAAGCATGTGTACCGCAACTGGGCGTCGACCGATATTTTCCAAATCTTTTCATGCTTTTAATCAAGGTGCTCAAATGATTTGATGCACTTTGTGAGGTGAAACCTGTTTTATTAAATATAGATCTTGATTATCAATCAGTCATCTTAGCCGGGCCCTGCCATTTTGTTTGAAGCAAATGCAAGTGATATGAGAGGTGGAATCTGATTGGCCAATAGGAGGGACACAGGAGGGACATAACTGGTGGGACTACGATCAAGCTACGAAATTCCAACGTAGTTTGGAAGAAATCACCGAGTCTGACCACCAGACAAGCATAGGTTGCTGGAAACCTATATGTTTCCCGGAATCCCCACACTCAGCTTGAAGAATATACCTTAACGGGTAAGAGAAGGAGCCTAGTTTCAAATCAGTCTTGCAATATTCCAGCTCTATCACAGCAGCTTGATAAAATAAATAAAGAAATCTGGGCCTGGCAATCCAGTGATTGAAAGCACTTGGGACAATCATCATATTCAGGGCACAACATCACAATCAGCCAGGTGACACCTTGCAACCAACCGATCCTACTGATGACCCGCTGAGGCCAAGATTAAACAGGTTTGACTTTTACACCAGTCAGCAAATATCAGTTATATAAGAGTGGACTGAAAAAAAAGGATCTGAGACGAAAGAACAAATGGTTGATATTATGAGCAACATTGCCAGGATACAATGACATGCAATCAGTCAAACTTGATTATCCAATTTAATCTAGCTGCCTACTTAAGACAAGAAATAGAGTTCTTGGGGTGAAATATTCCAGTTCCTACCCTCTAGTGTGCTCTCTGTGCGGATGTCTTCGATCATGTGTGTGAGGCTAAGCACGAGGACGTACAGCAGGTTACACTCGCGCATCATCTTGGACGCCAGGGACTCGTTGCTGAACAGCTGGACACTGATGTGGACTACTCGGTTGGCCACAGTCACCCGGTCAAGCGCCTGCACCAATACCAGGGAGATCCGACTGTAGTGGTGCACAAATGCACGCGTAAAGGCTTCCTGAAAGGACATGATTGACAGTGATGTAAATAAATGCATTTAATACTGCACAATAACCATACAGCATGCTCATGATGCTACACAGTGTTGATAGTTGTTGCTGAACACATCGTGAAGACTTGGTTCAAGTACATAAAGATATTTGCTGAGAGATTCCAAAGAGATAAACATTGGTTAAACCTGGTGAAAACTTACGGTGAGTGAGAATATGTTTATTGCCATTGGGTTTACAGGTTTTTTTTCAGATTTAAGCTCACCCACCTTGTAGAGTCGACAAACAGTAAGGGTACCCACCTTGTAGGAGTTAACAAGCAATAAGGGTCCCCACCTTGTAGGAGTCAACAGACAGTAAGGGTACCCACCTTGTAGGAGTTAACAAGCAGTAAGGGTACCCACCTTGTAGGAGTCGACAGGCAGTATGGGTTCCTGCCTTGTAGGAATCAACAGGCAGTATGGGTACCCACCTTGTAGGAATCAACAGGCAGTAAGGGTACCCACCTTGTAGGAATCAACAGGCAATAAGGGTACCCACCTTGTAGGAATCAACAGGCAGTAAGGGTACCCACCTTGTAGGAGTCTATAGGCAGTAAGGGTACCCACCTTGTAGGAGTCTATAGGCAATAAGGGTACCCACCTTGTAGGAATCGACAGACAGTAAGGGTACCCACCTTGTAGGAGTCTATAGGCAGTAAGGGTACCCACCTTGAAGGAGTCTACAGACAGTAAGGGTACCCACCTTGTAGGAGTCAACAGACAGTAAGGGTACCCACCTTGTAAGAATCTACAGGCATTTAGGGTACCCACCTTGTAGGAGTCTACAGGCAGTAAGGGTACCCGACTTGTAGGAGTCAACAGACAGTAAGGGTACCCACCTTGTAGGAATCAACAGGCAGTAAGGGTACCCACCTTGTAGGAATCTACAGGCAGTAAGGGTACCCACCTTGTAGGAATCAACAGGCAGTAAGGGTACCCACCTTGTAGGAATCAACAGACAGTAAGGGTACCCACCTTGTAGGAGTCAACAGGCAGCAAGGGTACCCACCTTGTAGGAATCAATAGGCAGTAAGGGTACCCACCTTGTAGGAGTCAACAGGCAGTAAGGGTACCCACCTTGTAGGAATCTACAGGCAGTAAGGGTACCCACCTTGTAGGAGTCGACAGGCAGTAAGGGTACCCACCTTGTAGGAGTCGACAAACAGTAAGGGTACCCACCTTGTAGGAGTCTACAGACAGTAAGGGTACCCACCTTGTAGGAGTCAACAGACAGTAAGGGTACCCACCTTGTAAGAATCTACAGGCATTTAGGGTACCCACCTTGTAGGGGTCTACAGGCAGTAAGGGTACCCGACTCGTAGGAGTCTACAGGCATTTAGGGTACCCACCTTGTAGGAGTCTACAGACAGTAAGCGTACCCACCTTGTAGGAGTCAACAGGCATTTAGGGTACCCACCTTGTAGGAGTCAACAGACAGTAAGGGTACCCACCTTGTAGGAGTCAACAGGCAGTAAGGGTACCCACCTTGTAGGAGTTGACAGGCAGTAAGGGTACCCACCTTGTAGGAGTCAACAGACAGTAAGGGTACCCACCTTGTAGGAGTCAACAGACAGTAAGGGTACCCACCTTGTAGGAGTCGACAGACAGTCAGGGTACCCACCTTGTTGGAGTCGATAGGCAGTAAGGGTACCCACCTTGTAGTAATCAACAGGCAGTAAGGGTACCCACCTTGTAGGAGTCAACAGGCAGTAAGGGTACCCACCTTGTAGGTGTCGACAGGCATTTAGGGTACCCACCTTGTAGGAGTCGACAGGCATTTAGGGTACCCACCTTGTAGGAGTCGACAGACAGTAAGGGTACCCACCTTGTAGGAGTCGACAGACAGTAAGGGTACCCACCTTGTAGGAATCAACAGGCAGTAAGGGTACCCACCTTGTAGGAGTCGACAGGCATTTAGGGTACCCACCGTGTAGGAGTCGACAGGCATTTAGGGTTCCCACCTTGTAGGAGTCGACAGACAGTAAGGGTACCCACCTTGTAGGAGTCAACAGACAGTAAGGGTACCCACCTTGTAGGAGTCAACAGACAGTAAGGGTACCCACCTTGTAGGAGTCAACAGGCAGTAAGGGTACCCACCTTGTAGGAGTCGACAGACAGTAAGGGTACCCACCTTGTAGGAGTCGACAGGCAGTAAGGGTACCCACCTTGTAGGAGTCGACAGACAGTAAGGGTACCCACCTTGTAGGAGTCAACAGACAGTAAGGGTACCCACCTTGTAGGAGTCAACAGGCAGTAAGGGTACCCACCTTGTAGGAGTCAACAGGCAGTAAGGGTACCCACCTTGTAGGAGTCGACAGACAGTAAGGGTACCCACCTTGTAGGAGTCAACAGACAGTAAGGGTACCCACCTTGTAGGAGTCGACAGACAGTAAGGGTACCCACCTTGTAGGAGTCGACAGGCAGTAAGGGTACCCACCTTGTAGGAGTCAACAGGCAGTAAGGGTACCCACCTTGTAGGAGTCAACAGGCATTAAGGGTACCCACCTTGTAGGAGTCAACAGACAGTAAGGGTACCCACCTTGTAGGAGTCGACAGACAGTAAGGGTACCCACCTTGTAGGAGTCAACAGGCAGTAAGGGTACCCACCTTGTAGGAGTCGACAGGCAGTAAGGTACCCACCTTGTAGGAGTCAACAGGCAGTAAGGGTACCCACCTTGTAGGAGTCGACAGATAGTAAGGGTACCCACCTTGTAGGAGTTGACAGGCAGTAAGGGTACCCACCTTGTAGGAGTCTACAGACAGTAAGGGTACCCACCTTGTAGGAGTCAACAGGCAGCAAGGGTACCCACCTTGTAGGAGTCGACAGACAGTAAGGGTACCCACCTTGTAGGAGTCAACAGGCAGCAAGGGTACCCACCTTGTAGGAGTCGACAGACAGTAAGGGTACCCACCTTGTAGGAGTCAACAGGCAGCAAGGGTACCCACCTTGTAGGAGTCTACAGACAGTAAGGGTACCCACCTTGTATGAGTCTACAGACAGTAAGGGTACCCACCTTGTAGGAGTCAACAGGCAGCAAGGGTACCCACCTTGTAGGAGTCGACAGGCAGTAAGGGTACCCACCTTGTAGGAGTCTACAGACAGTAAGGGTACCCACCTTGTAGGAGTCAACAGGCAGCAAGGGTACCCACCTTGTAGGAGTCGACAGACAGTAAGGGTACCCACCTTGTAGGAGTCTACAGACAGTAAGGGTACCCACCTTGTAGGAGTCAACAGGCAGCAAGGGTACCCACCTTGTAGGAGTCGACAGACAGTAAGGGTACCCACCTTGTAGGAGTTGACAGGCAGTAAGGGTACCCACCTTGTAGGAGTCAACAGGCAGTAAGGGTACCCACCTTGTAGGAGTCGACAGGCAGTAAGGGTACCCACCTTGTAGGAGTTGACAGGCAGTAAGGGTACCCACCTTGTAGGAGTCTACAGACAGTAAGGGTACCCACCTTGTAGGAGTCAACAGGCAGTAAGGGTACCCACCTTGTAGGAGTCTACAGACAGTAAGGGTACCCACCTTGTAGGAGTCAACAGGCAGCAAGGGTACCCACCTTGTAGGAGTCGACAGACAGTAAGGGTACCCACCTTGTAGGAGTTGACAGGCAGTAAGGGTACCCACCTTGTAGGAGTCAACAGGCAGTAAGGGTACCCACCTTGTAGGAGTCGACAGACAGTAAGGGTACCCACCTTGTAGGAGTTGACAGGCAGTAAGGGTACCCACCTTGTAGGAGTTGACAGGCAGTAAGGGTACCCACCTTGTAGGAGTCTACAGACAGTAAGGGTACCCACCTTGTAGGAGTCTACAGGCAGTAAGGGTACCCACCTTGTAGGAGTCTACAGACAGTAAGGGTACCCACCTTGTAGGAGTTGACAGGCAGTAAGGGTACCCACCTTGTAGGAGTCTACAGACAGTAAGGGTACCCACCTTGTAGGAGTCTACAGACAGTAAGGGTACCCACCTTGTAGGAGTCTACAGACAGTAAGGGTACCCACCTTGTAGGAGTTGACAGACAGTAAGGGTACCCACCTTGTAGGAGTTGACAGGCAGTAAGGGTACCCACCTTGTAGGAGTTGACAGGTAGTAAGGGTACCCACCTTGTAGGAGTCTACAGACAGTAAGGGTACCCACCTTGTAGGAGTCAACAGGCAGCAAGGGTACCCACCTTGTAGGAGTCGACAGACAGTAAGGGTACCCACCTTGTAGGAGTCAACAGACAGTAAGGGTACCCACCTTGTAGGAGTCGACAGACAGTATGGGTACCCAACTTGTAGGAGTCAACAGACAGTAAGGGTACCCACCTTGTAGGAGTCAACAGACAGTAAGGGTACCCACCTTGTAAGAATCTACAGGCAGTAAGGGTACCCACCTTGTAGGAGTCTACAGGCAGTAAGGGTACCCGACTTGTAGGAGTCAACAGACAGTAAGGGTACCAACCTTGTAGGAATCGACAGGCATTTAGGGTACCCACCTTGCAGGAGTCGACAGGCAGTAAGGGTACCCACCTTGTAGGAGTCTACATGCAGTAAGGGTACCCACCTTGTAGGAGTCGACAGGCAGCATGCTGAGCAGCAGGGTGACAATCCTCTGGGGGAACTCGTACTTGACCATCCAGAAGACAAGCTCGTCCAGCAGGGTCACATGGTGCAGCTTCTGACTCAGTCCTCGCTTGTCTGATTAGAAGGAAATCATGTTGTAAAAGAGGAAATATAAACAATAGCATGTTAGGCTACAAAAATAATCTTGCACTGTCCGCATCATCATAAAGTCTGCCACCTGTTCCGTTTTTATTTCCTTTAAAAAAAATAATTAAAATCATAAAATATTCAGTGCCTCGAACACACAAACGCGACAGTGAAATGCTGTAATACTTAAAAACAATGTGAACCAATATAGAGTGCAGTTAATTCCCTTTTCATGCGCACTGCTTTACTGCACATCTCGCGTTCGCGTCATGGTGGCAAAAGGAGTTGGTTTGCTTGTTTGGACATTTGCAAATTTGGTCAATGAAAACATGAAATTTACGAAGAAACATCACTAGACATGAGGATTTACAAATTCAATGGTATTTTTGTAATGTATGCCGGACAATGGTTCATACGCAGAGATTTAGATTACATGTGTATTTGTCTTGTAAAATAAGCCAGAAATAGCAAACAGCTGTTCACACCTTTTCTCCCCTATCTGTGGGTGATTTAGTTTAAAAAATAATAAATGTCATGGCCAATATCATAACCAAAAACAATTTTCAATACTGTGATAGGAAGACCAAAGACTTTGTATCTCTAACGAGTGATGTTCGTTTCAAGGTGAGTTCATGGTGAGTTGATGTGATTTGCCGATCAGTTTATACATGATTTCACCAAAATTAATGTAAACAAAATTGAATGAAATCTTGGATAAAAGTAATATAATGCAGTACAAACACAAGTCAAGATACACAATGAACACTTTTAAAGCCAGATAGCGTAATAACAGGACTAACTTGCATACTTCAGTAAGGATTTGTTAGCTTCTGCCAGTGTGCTCACAGTAACATCTTCACATTGTGAAATACAGTCGTTTATACGGACACTTGCGTCATTTCACAATTCGTCCGTATAAACGAATTTCCGTATAACTGAAACCAGCTTCTTACTGGAAGAGTTACTTCCCTTCAATTATGCAACTCATGACAGATGACAGTGCAAACAGATACATCCACTCAATCTTTATTCATACACGTTTCAAAAAGTCTGTCATGGAAGTTTGAACTTTTCCACATTTTGAGGTTTGAATTTTAAACAATAATTCCAAATTGTCCAGATCGCCTGTGTTCTCGTAATAGGTAATCAAGGTCTCTATACAAGCACGAGCCTCCTTGTGAGTTGACAGGCCATACTTACACAACTTTGACCTCTGACCTCCACAGACGCCATATTTATCGAAGGGGATTACATGTAGAATAAGAAGCTCAAACGTCTCAAGTCTCAAACGTAACTCAGTGTCACTTAGTTAATTGACTTCTCACGAATCAAAGGATTACCACCAGCGGAAGGATTACCACCAGCAGAAGTGTATTGTCCGGATAAGTGAGACAATTTTGTGTGCATTTCAGTGTTTTGTGTATGAAAATGACCGTCCGGTTCCAGAAACTGAATTTCCGGATATACGGGCAAATTTATATAGTAATTATTTCGTTTTGAATGAAAATCATCCGGGAACCGAGGTTTCCGGATATCTGAAGTCCATATAAGCGAGGCATGACTGTACACTCAAAGCTCATTGTATGCATGTATTATGCACACACTGATAGTATTCCAGTATTTTACACATCAAGGAATACATTTATGTAGGGAGTCCCATTCCCAGGTTGATTGTACACAACTGTTTATTTGGTTACATGCTTGTTTGAATACACACCCAAAAAAACACTGCCAGCCCATATTATATTTTCAGAAGCAATTGCCTGAGAACCAATTCTTTTATTTTTTAAGCCTTAGCATATGGGGAAATCAACACACTCACAATCATGTTAGAATAGGAACAACATTATCCAATAACATCAACATTATTAATGGCAGGGTCAAGGGTAGACATAATGACTTAAAACCAAATAAAATTCAAATATTAGAGCTATCATCATATCAATATTCAAGTCTGGACCAGACAAACAAGTGACTGATATCATGAACAACATTAGGGACTATTCAAAGCATATTTTGGCAGGGTTCACTAAAGGAATTTTCTGACAAGGGCCCTATATGTGAAAATATTCCAGAGGTACGCCCATACAGCACAATGTTAAAATGCCCCATGTGGGCCTTTTTTCAAATTTAGGAGCTAAAAGCACAAGGCCCCACCCTAGAAAAATCCCTGTTTTGGGTATATATGGACAGAAGCGCTACTTCAGCAGATTCCTTACTCTGGTACTTCTCGAAGGTTGCAGGGTACGGCATGATTTCTCTCGCTTGTACGTAGTTCTTCTGACTCTCAATACAGTAGGGGTTGTTGGCTATTTTCTCTGAAAACATACATCAGAACATCTACCACACCAGTCTCAGCAATAATTCAAATATCACACTAGGCTGCCATGCATTAAGTTCACCTAATGTTTCTATTTGGAGAAGGAATTGCACAAAGAAAGACCTACTAACATCACCCACTGGTTATCAAAAACAATTTTACATTATTATTTATGAGCCCTGAGATAAAATTAAAACACATTTTATAAAGTTTAACAAGATACAATCTTACACATTGAACTCTCAGACTCAAACACTGTAAGCATGGTATATAGGTGTGATGAAGGCCCTAGTTTCAGGGACTGTACCTATAGTAAGCATGGTATATAGGTGTGATGAAGGCCCTAGTTTCAGGGAGTGTACCTATAGTAAGCATGGTATATAGGTGTGATGAAGGCCCTAGTTTCAGGGACTGTACCTGTGATAAGCATGGTATATAGGTGAGATGAAGGCCCTAGTTTCAGGGACTGTACCTATAGTAAGCATGGTATATAGGTGTGATGAAGGCCCTAGTTTCAGGGACTGTACCTGTGATAAGCATGGTATATAGGTGAGATGAAGGCCCTAGTTTCAGGGACTGCACCTGTGATAAGCATGGTATATAGGTGTGATGAAGGCCCTAGTTTCAGGGACTGTACCTGTGATAAGCATGGTATATAGGTGAGATGAAGGCCCTAGTTTCAGGGAGTGTACCTATAGTAAGCATGGTATACAGGTGAGATGAAGGCCCTAGTTTCAGGGACTGTACCTGTGATAAGCATGGTATATAGGTGAGATGAAGGCCCTAGTTTCAGGGAGTGTACCTATAGTAAGCATGGTATATAGGTGTGATGAAGGCCCTAGTTTCAGGGACTGTACCTGTGATAAGCATGGTATATAGGTGAGATGAAGGCCCTAGTTTCAGGGAGTGTACCTATAGTAAGCATGGTATATAGGTGTGATGAAGGCCCTAGTTTCAGGGACTGTACCTGTGATAAGCATGGTATATAGGTGAGATGAAGGCCCTAGTTTCAGGGACTGTACGTGTGATAAGCATGGTATATAGGTGTGATGAAGGCCCTAGTTTCAGGGACTGTACCTGTGATAAGCATGGTATATAGGTGAGATGAAGGCCCTAGTTTCAGGGAGTGTACCTATAGTAAGCATGGTATATAGGTGTGATGAAGGCCCTAGTTTCAGGGACTGTTCCTGTGATAAGCATGGTATATAGGTGAGATGAAGGCCCTAGTTTCAGGGAGTGTACCTATAGTAAGCATGGTATATAGGTGAGATGAAGGCCCTAGTTTCAGGGAGTGTACCTATAGTAAGCATGGTATATAGGTGAGATGAAGGCCCTAGTTTCAGGGACTGTACCTGTGATAAGCATGGTATATAGGTGAGATGAAGGCCCTAGTTTCAGGGACTGTACCTATAGTAAGCATGGTATATAGGTGAGATGAAGGCCCTAGTTTCAGGGACTGTACCTGTGATAAGCATGGTATATAGGTGAGATGAAGGCCCTAGTTTCAGGGACTGTACCTATAGTAAGCATGGTATATAGGTGAGATGAAGGCCCTAGTTTCAGGGACTGTACCTGTGATAAGCATGGTATATAGGTGAGATGAAGGCCCTAGTTTCAGGGAGTGTACCTGTGATAAGCATGGTATATAGGTGAGATGAAGGCCCTAGTTTCAGGGACTGTACCTATAGTAAGCATGGTATATAGGTGAGATGAAGGCCCTAGTTTCAGGGACTGTACCTGTGATAAGCATGGTATATAGGTGAGATGAAGGCCCTAGTTTCAGGGACTGTACCTGTGATAAGCATGGTATATAGGTGAGATGAAGGCCCTAGTTTCAGGGACTGTACCTGTGGTAGGCATGGTATATAGGTGAGATGAAGGCCCTAGTTTCAGGGAGTGTACCTGTGATTAGCATGGTATATAGGTGAGATGAAGGCCCTAGTTTCAGGGAGTGTACCTGGGGTAGGCATGGTATTTAGGTGTGATGAAGGCCTTAGTTTCAGGGAGTGTACCTATAGTAAGCATGGTACATAGGTGTGATGAAGGCCCTAGTTTCAGGGACTGTACCTGTAGTAAGCATGGTACAATGGTGTCATGAAGGCCCTAGTTTCAGGGACTGTACCTGTGGTAAGCATGGTACATAGGTGTGATGAAGGCCCTAGTTTCAGGGACTGTACCTGTAGTAAGCATGGTACAAAGTTGAGATGAAGGCCGTAGTTTCAGGGAGTGTACGTGTGGTAGGCATGGTATTTAAGTGTGATGAAGGCCCTAGTTTCAGGGACTGTACTTGTGGTAAGCATGGTACATAGGTGTGATGAAGGCCCTAGTCTCAGGGACTGTACCTATAGTAAGCATGGTACAAAGTTGAGATGAAGGCCCTAGTTTCAGGGAGTGTACGTGTGGTAGGCATGGTATATAGGTGTGATAAAGGCCCTAGTTTCAGGGAGTGTACCTGTGGTAAGCATGGTACATAGGTGTGATGAAGGCCCTAGTTTCAGGGACTGTTCCTGTGGTTAGCATGGTATATAGGTGAGATGAAGGCCCTAGTTTCAGGGAGTGTACCTGGGGTAGGCATGGTATTTAGGTGTGATGAAGGCCTTAGTTTCAGGGAGTGTACCTGTGGTAGGCATGGTACATAGGTGTGATGAAGGCCCTAGTTTCAGGGACTGTACCTGTAGTAAGCATGGTACAAAGTTGAGATGAAGGCCCTAGTTTCAGGGAGTGTACGTGTGGTAGGCATGGTATATAGGTGTGATAAAGGCCCTAGTTTCAGGGACTGTACCTGTGGTAAGCATGGTACATAGGTGTGATGAAGGCCCTAGTTTCAGGGACTGTACCTGTGATAAGCATGGTATATAGGTGAGATGAAGGCCCTAGTTTCAGGGAGTGTACCTGACCATGGTACATAGGTGTGATGAAGGCCCTAGTTTCAGGGACTGTACCTGTAGTAAGCATGGTACAATGGTGTGATGAAGGCCCTAGTTTCAGGGACTGTACCTGTGGTAAGCATGGTACATAGGTGTGATGAAGGCCCTAGTTTCAGGGACTGTACCTGTAGTAAGCATGGTACAAAGTTGAGATGAAGGCCGTAGTTTCAGGGAGTGTACGTGTGGTAGGCATGGTATTTAAGTGTGATGAAGGCCCTAGTTTCAGGGACTGTACTTGTGGTAAGCATGGTACATAGGTGTGATGAAGGCCCTAGTCTCAGGGACTGTACCTATAGTAAGCATGGTACAAAGTTGAGATGAAGGCCGTAGTTTCAGGGAGTGTACGTGTGGTAGGCATGGTATTTAAGTGTGATGAAGGCCCTAGTTTCAGGGACTGTACTTGTGGTAAGCATGGTACATAGGTGTGATGAAGGCCCTAGTCTCAGGGACTGTACCTATAGTAAGCATGGTACAAAGTTGAGATGAAGGCCCTAGTTTCAGGGAGTGTACGTGTGGTAGGCATGGTATATAGGTGTGATAAAGGCCCTAGTTTCAGGGAGTGTACCTGTGGTAAGCATGGTACATAGGTGTGATGAAGGCCCTAGTTTCAGGGAGTGTACCTGTGGTAAGCATGGTACATAGGTGTGATGAAGGCCCTAGTTTCAGGGACTGTACCTGTGGTAGGCGTGGTATATAGGTGTGATGAAGGCCCTAGTTTCAGGGACTGTACCTGTGGTAGGCATGGTACATAGGTGTGATGAAGGCCCTAGTCTCAGGGACTGTACCTGTAGTAAGCATGGTACAAAATTGCGATGAAGGCCCTAGTTTCAGGGAGTGTACGTGTTGTAGGCATGGTATATAGGTGTGATGAAAGCCCTAGTTTCAGGGAGTGTACCTGTGGTAAGCATGGTACATAGGTGTGATGAAGGCCCTAGTTTCAGGGACTGTTCCTGTGGTTAGCATGGTATATAGGTGAGATGAAGGCCCTAGTTTCAGGGACTGTACCTGTGATAAGCATGGTACATAGGTGTGATGAAGGCCTTAGTTTCAGGGACTGTTCCTGTAGTAAGCATGGTACATAGGTGTGATGAAGGCCCTAGTTTCAGGGACTGTACCTGTGATAAGCATGGTACATAGGTGTGATGAAGGCCCTAGTTTCAGGGACTGTACCTGGGGTAAGCATGGTATATAGATGTGATGAAGGCCCTAGTTTCGGGGACTGTACCTGTGGTAGGCATGGTACAAAGGTGTGATGAAGGCCCTAGTTTCAGGGACTGTACCTGTAGTAAGCATGGCAGATAGGTGTGATGAAGGCCCTAGTTTCAGGGACTGTACCTGTGATAAGCATGGTACATAGGTGTGATGAAGGCCCTAGTTTCAGGGACTGTACCTGTAGTAAGGCTGGTACATAGGTGTGATGAAGGCCCTAGTTTCAGGGACTGTACCTGTGGTAAGCATGGTAGATAGGTGTGATGAAGGCCCTAGTTTCAGGGACTGTGATGAAGGCCCTAGTTTCAGGGACTGTGATGAAGGCCCTAGTTTCAGGGACTGTGATGAAGGCCCTAGTTTCAGGGACTGTACCTGTGGTAAGGCTGGTACAAAGTTGAGATGAGGCCCTAGTTTCAGGGACTGTGATGAAGGCCCTAGTTTCAGGGACTGTGATGAAGGCCCTAGTTTCAGGGACTGTGATGAAGGCCCTAGTTTCAGGGACTGTGATGAAGGCCCTAGTTTCAGGGACTGTGATGAAGGCCCTAGTTTCAGGGACTGTGATGAAGGCCCTAGTTTCAGGGACTGTACCTGTGGTAAGGCTGGTACAAAGTTGAGATGAGGCCCTAGTTTCGGGGACTGTGATGAAGGCCCTAGTTTCAGGGACTGTGATGAAGGCCCTAGTTTCAGGGACTGTGATGAAGGCCCTAGTTTCAGGGACTGTGATGAAGGCTCTAGTTTCAGGGACTGTGATGAAAGCCCTAGTTTCAGGGACTGTACCTGTGGTAAGGCTGGTACAAATTTGAGATGAGGCCCTAGTTTCAGGGACTGTGATGAAGGCCCTAGTTTCAGGGACTGTGATGAAGGCCCTAGTTTCAGGGAGCGTACCTGTGGTAAGGCTGGTACAAAGTTGAGATGAGGCCCTAGTTTCAGGGAGCGTACCTGTGGTCAGCCGCCGGTATTCCTGCTCACTGGTGAGAATTTCTGCCATCACCAGCCTCATGGCCGCTCCCATGTCACTGAGGCTTTGCAGGAAGGACAGGAACTGCTCCGCGTCATCCATGGTTACATAGTAGGAGCCCTTCACGTCTACAAGAAGATGATTAAATCAAAATCATTCAGGGCTAGACACCTTTGGTCATATACAACTTGCCTGCAATTCATTTTGGACTTGTGGTTTAAGTCAAATAACTACATTTTGAAAGAAAACAACTGGTCCTGTTAGATTTTCAGTAGTCTCGGATTAATGGACTAGTAGCCATGTCTAACTTTGCTATTCATTGATGTGTTACTTGACTATCCTGACCAAATTGGGTGAGGTAAGGTGAAATGGGGTTTAACGTCGCGTCCAAGATTATTGCACTTATATAGCCATGTGCATGTACGTGTGTGTGTGTGGTTGCTTGTACTAGTCCGGACTGATGCCGATTTATAGTGCTAGCTCAGAGATACCATGCCGCAGTTTAACATGAATACCCCACTCAGACATAGTACACTGACTCCGAGCCGACCAGTCCTTGTTTTAGCCCCTTAATGCCGAGCGCCAGACAGGGTAACAACAAGTACCAATCATATGGAGAGCTGTTAAGGACACTTGCTAAATGATCCACTGACCATGATGACAACTCAAACAAAAATGTAAAAGTAACACAACACTTGTGACCTGACCTGGTTTACAGTTGTCACGGAGATAGTGGATGAGGCGGAGGAAGACCTGGGGCATCATGGCTTCTGCATTGGCCATCATGTCTCCAGGCATGTGCACAGCATGTCGCTGTCGGTCGGGGCCATGTCGGGGGCAGAACCTAAAGCATGATACAGTTGGTGAAGGTTGTCTCATAGTTTGAATTTAGAGTATTTACCGTATTCGACGTAATAAGCGCCCCGCTCTAATAAGCGCCCACGGCGGTATTTGCTAATAACTGGTGAACAATCAGCACAATCCCAATTAGCACCCCTTCCGACTGATCAATGTTCACAAGACTTATTTATTCGCGTACAATACGCCCTCGTGTGTTATATGCACCCTTAATTATGGGGAATTAAATTCTAGGAAAATATATCTCCCGTACATTAACATTTCAAGCTGTCAGCATAAACCACGAAATTTATCTTTCAACTCTGTTTTTTCACCAAAGTAATATTCTAATAAGAGCCCCCTTTTTCTAATTTTGAGAGTGCCCTGGGCGCTTATTACGTCGAATACGGTAACTTGTTTTGAGATAGGTACTTTTCAAATCTAGACGACCTATAAGTATAACTTGATATTTGTGAAAAAATGAGGTCAGTGTGCATTCCAATGACATGATGCAACTCTTCACAGATAATTGTGGCACCCTATAAAAAAAACCTGGCATGACAAATAAAGAAATTTGTGAAAAATGAGAATGATCATGACATGGCAAGCTCCTCACAACAATAGCCTGTTTGCATAGCTCTCTACCCTACCGCTGCAAGTCACAGCTCCCCACAGGGCTGGTCAGCCTCTAACCATGCATGGAGTAACAATTGTTGTGATGCTGTATACTTTTGTCGAAGCCAAAGTCTTTTGTTTGTTTCTATTTTATTTCAACTATCATGTAATTAGTTGAAGTTGATGCAAGGGGGAAGTTGCGTGCTATTCCTTTAGTCTACAATCTCGAACCAAAAATATAAAAAAAAAGAAATAGTGTAAATTCATCAGTGAAATAGCAGGACAATCGTAAACCTTTCCCGAATTCACTATAATGACATTTCCAAAGACAAACACACAAATATAAACGTCACTACATTTGTTGTTAGCAAGGAAAACTGGCAAGATTTTTGCAATCCGCACAGGTAGCAGTGATGATACTGAGAGAAACGAAGGTGTCACGCATTGGAACGGAGCTTGGATGACATGGATGGCAAGGGAAGTAACTCACCCTGAAGTATTCATGACACTGGTGTCCCCACAGTCACAGGCTCCCCCTGCCTGGCTGCGGAACATGTTGTAGTCGTGTCCCTCGTGGTTGCCGGCCTGGAAACAGTCGGAGCAGAGGGACATGCAGGGGGAGATCCCGCATGTCCGACATCGGTAGGCCACGAAGTGGGCTGTCCAGACCAGGCCACATGTGACAGCGTTGTCATACTTCCGGACTGAAATGAGACACAATCATCATTAGTTGGAGTTTGTTTGAGATCTCTTAAATCATTGGATTGTGGCAGTCAGAATTCAGGCATCAACTTTTCCCATATTTCATTTTTGTACCAATTCCTATACAGGGATTTGTCTAACTTATGGTAAAATTACAACTGGTAGTGCCACTGGTCCTTCCTGAATTTTCCAAGTCTTGGACAAGAGGACTTACCTTATTTGCAATAAGTCATAAGTGCTCTGGGTGCTTAGAAAATTGAGGGTGGGAGGTGGTGGGAGGTGGTGGGAGGGTAGGTGTGCTTATTAAAACCATACACAACAATCTGAATTTGTGGTCAGAGTTCGAACGGTAGTCAACAAACTTAGTTTAAATGTTGATGAAGCCAAACGTTTTTGATAAAAGTTACTCAGCAATTATTCTTCCCTACCCTGCTGTTTTCTGTGAATAATCTGTAACATGCACCAGAAAATACAGACTGTCATATTAAGTTTTGAAATTGGTAGGTTGGTGAGGTGAAATAGGGTTTAACGTCGCGTTCAAGATTATTGCACTTATATAGCAACGTGCATGTACATGTGTGTGTTTGTGTGGCTGCTTGTACTAATCGGACTGATGCCGATTTATAGTGCTAGCTCACTGAGATACCATGCCGCAATTTAACATGAATACCCCACTCAGGCACAGTATACTGACTCCGAGCCGACCAGTCCTTGTTTTAGCCCCTTAATGCCGAGCGCCAGACAGGGTAACAACAAGTACCATCTTTTGGTATGACGCAGTCGGGGATCAAACCCTGGACCTTCCGCTCTCCGGGCGGACGCTCTACCACTAGACCTCAGAGGCGGTTGGTAGGTTGGTAGGTAGGGGGTGCTTATAAAGATTACTTACAGACCCATCGAGACGTTGGTCAGCAGGTGCTTATTGGAACAGGGCACTTAACACAGTGCATACTAGTTTCGAAGCTGGATATGCTCCTAATGTTACCTACTTGTCTCAGGTCAGTTGATGATATACTGATTCTGCTAGAGGTGAGGTGAAATGGGGTTTCACGCAGCAATCACGATTATTGTGCTTATAGAAACATCCAGTGGATAGAGCATCTCCTCAGACAGCGGAAGATTTGTTAGCTCAATCCCCTGGTCGTATGATACCAAAAGATGTCAAAAGAAGGTACTTGCTGTTACCCTGCCTGATGCTAGGCATTAAGGGTCTAAAACAAGGACAGGTCAGCTTGGAGTTTACCTTGTCTAAGTGGGGTGTCCATGTTAATCATTGTAAATAATATTGTCATGATAAAACATGTTTGACGAATTCGTTTTTAAAAATAACTTTCTATTCATGACTCAGCTTTATATATATCAGCTTGTTTTCGTCGACATATAGCTGACATATTGCAGATGTGACGTTAAATATTAACCCACAAACAAATCTGTGGCATGATATCTCAGTGGGCTAGCACTATAAAACCAGCATAAGCTTTGACAAGTACAAACAGCCACACACTCATGCAATAATCTTGAACTAAAGGCTGAAACCCATATCAACTCATTTGATACACTTTGTGGAAGTGATTACTTGAACACTCGAATCAGTAAGTATGGTTTTACACTGCTTTTTAGCAATTTTCCAGCAATATCACGGGGGGGACACCAGGGTTGGTTTCACACATTGTACCCATGCAGGGAATCGAGCCTGGGTCACTCAAAGCGACATCAACATCCCTACCTGAATCAACTATGTATGAAAATACTGTATGTCTGATTACAATATACCGTATTCGACGTAATAAGCGCCCAGGGCGCTCTCAAAATTAGAAAGAGGGGGCTCTTATTAGAATATTATTTTGGTGGAAAAAAACAGAGTTGAAAGATAAATTTCATGGTTAATGCTGACGGTCTGAACTGTTTATATACGACAGATATATTTTTCCAGATTAATTAAGGGTGCATATAACACACGAGTGCGTATTATACACGATTAAATAAGTCTTATGTACATTGATCAATCGGAAGGGATGCTAATTGGGATTGTTCACTTGCCAATATATTAGCAAATATCGCCATGGGCGCTTATTAGAGCGGGGCGCTTATTACGTCGAATACGGTAATATAACCGGTGCAAGGATTTATCTAGGATTCTAAACTAAGTGCCTTGAAAGGCAAATTGGCGAAAATCATGTTTGTTCAAAATTGGATGTTTTTCAAAGTTCTTGAACATTGTATTTTAACGTTGTATTTTAACATTGTATTTTAACATTGTAGTTTAACATTGTGTTTTAACATTGTATTTCAACATTGTATTTCAACATTGTATTTCAACATTGTATTTCAACATTGTATTTTAACATTGTATTTCAACATTGTATTTCAACATTGTATTTTAACATTGTATTTCAACATTGTATTTCAACATTGTATTTTAACATTGTATTTCAACATTGTATTTCAACATTGTATTTCAACATTGTATTTTAACATTGAATTCAATGCAATAGTGATAAACTGAGTATGAAGCACCCTTCCTCTACAGGGTTTGAAATAACCATTAACCCAACATGCCCCACAGCCTGTGGCTAGTGAAATGTGCTGGGCTAATAGTATTTGAAAACTGCTTCACCGACTGGCTAGTTGAAATTCTGACCCTCATAACGACTCTACAACTGCTAACTTTGATCATTTAGTTTCATTTAAGCAAGGACGTTCACTTGCACAACATTTACTAACGTAAGTAATTTTACACATGTGTAACTATACATACATGCGTATATATAAATTTACTATGCATTCACATGAAGAGCATCTTATGTGTGTAAATAAACTATGTAAATTGTGTAAGGCACACCTATTCGTCAGTCTGTTCACGCCTTTCAACACAAAACAGGTTGTTTCCCAATCAAAGTTGAATGAGAAAAGAGTTACTTCACCGAAAATTTTCGCGTGAATCAACATGTGTTTGATTTAATTTGTACACAAAGTTTTGATTCCTTGAAACCAAAGGAAAACACTGTCCGCTCAACTCAGTATATATGCATTAATGTTGGCAACTGTTGACAATTTATTTGGTGTTGGCAAAAGATATTAATTAGATCATCCTCTTACGTTGACATAAACGTTTACATTGCAACATAAACACACAGTGCAAATTTACATTTACATTTGCACCTGCTCCAGACATGATGCAAATTATCTCCTGATGTAAATATACACACATGAGTAAATGCGTTCACATGACAAGTATACTCACATATGTATTTCTACACACATATGCACATATACACATATGTATAGAGGCGCAAGTGAACGGGGTATTACTTGATTTCCGATTGTAACACATCTCGTGCAGAGTAATCTCACCCTGTAGTAAAGACAAATATTCTGATTGGATGAAATCAATCCTGTAATTCATACACCCAATCAGCAGAAGTGTTTCACTACTCTTCCTTCCAGTAATGGCAGGGTAACATCAGCGTTAGAAATATAGTCCTATAGTCCTTGCCAACTGCCCAAAAGTAAAGGTATCATAAGGACTAGTAGAAATTGGCCCATTTTAACATGTTTAAGGGTTTTGCTATATGTTATCAATATAAGGATGAGTGGACAAAAACTGTTAGTTTCTAACCCTGTAACATGGTCTTTCACAAATTTCAAGCCACAGAAGGAAGAGAAACCAAAATTAGACAGTTATGAACAAAAAGATTTACAAGCCAGAAAAACGATCACATTCCTATCTTCCTAAGTGGGCTGTAAAAGGCGACGAACAGGATCGGTTGGTCAGGCTCGCTGACTTGGTGGATACATGTCATCATATCCCAATTGCGTGGATCGATGCTCATGATGTCAGTCACAGGATTGTCTGGTCCAGACTCGATTATATACAGACCGCCGTCATATAGCTGGAATATTGCTGAGTGCGGCGTAAAACAGCAAACAAACAAACAAACAATCCTAAGTGGGTCTTGGAGTTATGTTGACCATCATCTAGTGTGGAAAAGGGGATGTGGTGTACGCTTTGTTGTCAGTTCAGAACTGTAAGGGTGTTTGTGTTAAATTGCAAAAACTTTTAAACAGGAAACAATATTATCACATGAAAAATCTGATGGGCACAATTTCAACATGAAGAAACTAACATTTAACAACTCAATTAAATCTAGTTGACACATGTGCAGCCAAGACATTGCCTATGTTGAATACTTACAATTATCATGATTATAATCAAATGTGTTTGAATTTCATAAATTCCTATTACCATTGTAAGAAAGGCCGACCTTTCACTGATTTATTTTACTTTAAGAACTTGATGAATCTTTCCTCCTCTTACTATTCCCTTGTCTGCATTGGGTGAGTGAGTTTTGTTTTACGTTGCTTTTAACAATATTCCAGCAATATCACAGCGGGGAACACCAGAAATGGTGCACTCAGGAATATTCCAGCTCTATGACGGCGGTTTGTAATTAAGCGACTCTGGACCAGACATCATGAGCATCAACCCACGCTGGGATATGATGACATGACCAAGTCAGCAAGCCTGACCAATCGATCCCATTAGTTGGCTCTTACGACAAGCATAGCTTTTGACAGCAAGCATGGGTTGCTGAAGACCTATTCTACCCCGGATCTTCACAGGTCAGTATGTGCTGGTGCAAACATCATGTACATGTGCATCTTTCCAAGGCAAGAGAGTTAACTCACTTTAAAAGTCCAGTTTGTACCCTTACCGAACTAGGCTGGTATTATGGAATTACATTTTGCCTGGACTAACAAGTCTATGCATAGTCCAATCAAAATCGCGCAATCCGGTTTGTTAACTGTCGTGCAGATTTCGGTCGATTGCAGGATATGCAAAACATGTGCACCGCCAACTCATTGTCAGCAGATATTTTCCAAATCTTTTCATGTTTTTAATCAAAGTGCTGACATGATTTGATGCATTTCGCGATGTAAGACCCGTTTTATCACAATATATATCTTGATTATCGATCAAATCGTCTTGACTGGGCACCACCATTTTGTGTGAAGCAAACGCAAGTGATACGAGAAGTTGAATCTGATTGGTCCATAGGAGAGTGATTGAGTGCGTTGGGTTTTACGCCGCTTTTAACAGCATTCCAGTTATATCACGGCGTGTCAGCTTAATGTGGGAGGAAAGCCCAAAGTGATGCAGGTCTCAGACGTTTACCACTTCGGTGAAACCCACGAGCATGGGTATGGTGCTGACAAACCTAGAAACATAATCGGGGCGAACCGGGATTCGAACCAACAATCATAGGTTTCTGGCGTGCCCAAGGGACGCAACTCTGCACAGCGAATCACGGCTCCTTAGACGACTGGGCCCACCCATGCCCCCGGTCCATAGGAGAGGCTTAGAAGGGACATAACTGGTAATAGCCACTGGTGGCGCTACGATCAAGCCCAGTAATTCGAGCCTAGTTCGGCAAGGGTGGAAACTGGACTTTTAAAGTCAGCTTACTCTCTTGCCTCAGGAAGATGGTACATGTGAGAATGTCAAGAGAACTGTGAAAAAATTGTCTGCAGCAAAAGAGTGAAAATTCCTAAATGGATCACAAATTTCTCAGTTCATGTTATACAGCAAACACTAATGTAATGGCTTTGTAGAAGTGAGTTGTATTTCAATGATCAATTGGAGCAAAATGATGATTTTTTCCCCCAATTGCCTGATAACAGGGGCCATGTTTGGAATCCTGGGAAAACTCCCTGCCATGGTTCTTGTATTTAAGTGGTGCTGGCATGATTACCTGGTACATATGTAATGACACGGTTAAAATAAGATCCCAGTGCCTGAACATGTGAAGGACACACATGGAAATCATGTTTTGGAGCAACAGTATCAATAATTATTATGTGACTGAAACCACAAACAAATGTGACAAACACATGGAAAATGATGAACTTGTGACCGTGCTTAATGAGCATTGTGATTCACAAAATAAAGGATATACAGAAATGGAATAGGGTATTAATCATGGTAATCACAATGAAAAGGAACGGACAAGCTTTCTAAATTACAACTGCCTACTGTCGAGCCAGGGATTTATCCCGGATTCTAAAGGAGCCTCTGGCAGACAAATTGGGAAAAATAATTATTTTGTTTGAAACTGGGATTTTTAAAAGTTTTTATTTTACATTCAGGGGTAGGCCTATTTTAACATTATATTTTGAAACTGCATTCAATGCAGTAATATATACCTGAACATTACAACTCCTCCATTGTATTCGTCCTGTCATCATGTTCAGTCTTTCCACAATCAATATCATAATATCTTTTTTTAATCCTCAGCATATTGGCTGATCTCAAATAACAATTTTTATCATTCATGTGTTTCCTGTCATATACTTGCCAAATACCCAGAGGATGCATCCGTGTGTATTTATTGATTGAGTAAAATTAAATAAATGATTATGTTGAACCAGCATCTTGTTTTGTTCCATTTATGAACTTCAATTTACACTATGGTGTTTCAAATTGCTTCTGAATTCAAAATTTTGAATGATAGAATATATCATGATAGGTATTGCAATACGACCTTGTGCATCGTAAAATATTGTGATATACCGTACTTTAAACCTCCAATACCCATCCCTAGTGAAGTACAGGTTTCTACAAAGCCATAAAATTAGCCATTTAAGTTTGTTATATATAGTAACTCTATGAGGGAAACTCTTAAATCCATTCTGTGTAATTTTAATGACATTTGCTGCAGACTTGGGGAGATTATTGGCCTCTGAGCGGGTCTCGATAAATCCCTGCTAGCCTTTGTGAAATGCTATTCACAGAGTTTGGTGATGGATCTAAACTATGATTCAAGTTGACAGACTTTTAACATGTTTAATTACAAAGGCTGGCCTAAACATCGTATGAGTGTCTTAATACTCTTATGGCACCCTCAAGAAAAAATAATTGCCTATGTCTTGTACCGGTACATATTTTGTTTTTCAGTATTTTTCATTCTGTATATCATTTTTGTGATTTATGCCAATTATATGGTGTTGTCTTTGCAAAATATATCTGATGATGTTTTAGTCAATTTGGTGTTATATTCACAAGGCATATTTGGTGCCATTTTGGACCAGGTTGACGTGGTGCTGTTAAGCCGTATCCCAAAACACTTCAATCAGTGTTTTATGGAAAGGTTAGAACACTACTGATCTGACAAATGACAATGACTTCTACACTGATGTCCGACTTAAAGTTTAAACCAGAAATTGCTTAAACACTTTGCAGATACAGATAAGACAAAGTGCAGAATTACTTCAACATGTTAGTCCATATGACAACACTAAAGTATACTAAAGAATGATGCTGACAGCCGTCTGGTTTTGGCACAGACTGACTACATTGATTTGTTTTACCATGTATACTTGCTATGCTGAACCAACATTGCTATTATAACATGATATACCCTGCTTGACAAAGGGACAGGTTGTGATACTAATGTTCATAAGTTCATGATCTAATCTTTGTCACCCTTAGATATTTAAACATGAAAACTGCATTAGTAATGCAGAATTGACTGGATCACTGTGGATAGTCCAAAACATTTAGCATTAGTTTAGCATGTTTAGATTACCTTACTTCATATCTTTGTTCATTGAAAGCCAGTTTTCTACTACTGACTACACACACACACACACAATTTAGTCAGTACTAGAAAAGTGGCTAGTTTTCTACCACTCACCCACACGCACGTTTTAGTCAGTACTAGAAAAGTGGCTAGTTTTCTACTACTGACCACACACACACAGACATGTTTTAGTCAGTACTAGAAAAGTGGCTAGTTTTCTACTACTGACTACACACACACACGTTTTAGTCAGTACTAGAAAAGTGGCTAGTTTTCTACTACTGACTACACACACACACACGTTTTAGTCAGTACTAGAAAAGTGGCTAGTTTTCTACTACTGACTACACACGCACACAAGTTTTAGTCAGTACTAGAAAAGTGGCTAGTTTTCTACTACTGACTACACACGCACACAAGTTTTAGTCAGTACTAGAAAAGTGGCTATATATAGTGAATGAGAAGTCAGAAAATGAATAACTGAAAGTTAATGTCACTGACATGCTGACCAAGTAACAAAATGTTTCTGCACGGCTGAACAAGACAGCAGGGCTGCTGGCCATCTGGTAACACATCTATGTCCGCAGTACATGTTCCCACCGTTTTGAAACATTGTACTAGCCTCAGGCTGCACCCCATGGTGACAATTTGGTTTCCTAAATATTGGTTTCATGACACGAGTTCCCACATAGTGAAACACAATGTGCAAGATTTCATAATTCAAATTACATACGCTATCGTAATCATCACTAATGACACTGAAAATAAAATAAAGAGATTTAGATTTCCATTTATGTTCAAGATAATAAGCCTGTCGTGCTGAATCTCACCTGTCTTAGCAAATTCATCGAATGTGGAGCCTCCTGCAATCAACCACCTACACCATTCCAAAGGTTCTAAATCATCAATTGGTCTTTGGGGTGCCAGTAAATGTTCTAGAAAATCGTGGAATTTCTGCAGATTGGTTTGTCTTGCGTTTTCTCCTTTAAAGTACGTTGCTACACTCCTTTTGCTGCGTTTCAGCAGCGCTGATCCCGATGGCATGTCATTTCCAGCCATTGCGAAGATGCCATATGGGCTGCTTGAGCAGATTCCACCTCTTATATCTCCTGCGAAACCCTACTAAGTGTTGTCAAAGTGGTGACTTAATTAGTCTGTATCAAATAAGGACAATCTACATCTTCCCACTCAATGTCAAATGCAATAAGCCATAACAAGAACCAAAATAAACGCAACTTCCGGACAAGTGATGCGCCATCTGTATAGTTTGCAAGGACAGATAACTCGTTTATTTATAAGGTGTATTATAAAACTGGTATCTCCAAGCGAAAAGTAGTTGTGCAAATGATGAAATTATGCGAGATTGTCTTCTCTATTTTTATCCAACACCCCAATGTCTAGTATTAAAAATCACTTAGAAACTAAAAATTTATGAACCCCATTCCCTCTGGGATTGGATTCCTGCTAATAATCGAGACTTTTTTCCATGTATTAAATTAGGATGACCAACTTATTTCTTAATAATAATTAAAACTGACATGTCATTCAGCTTGGTTGTCTACTGCTGGGGCATTTCGCGCGTGAGTAATGGAAAAAGCCCAGGTTGAGTTAATAAGTCAGAAAAAGATTCTTATTACTATCGCATCGACGAATTGTCCAGGCACCAAATGGTCAAAAGGACGGGTTGAGGTAATTTTGTAACCCAAACGAATTCGTGACCCAAGAAAATTCGTAACCCTTAAAAATAAGAAACTTCGTAACCCAATTTCGTATTTTCAAGTATTCGTTTATACTAGATTATTATCTTTGGATTATAGGTTTTCAAAATCTTATATTTGTTTAAAAATTTATAAGACCAGAGACCATAGAATAAATTTATTTTATGGTCTGTGATGAGACAATATGATTATAGCGATTTCTCCCGTTATAAAGAGTTGTGTGATGTCACTGTTGAGCAATCCATTCACTTCATAGGGATACGACCCGTGAAGAGTCCGGGGTAGAATAGGTCTTCAGCAACCCATGCTTGCCGTTAAAGGTGACGATGCTTGTCGTAAAAGGCGACTAACGGGATCGGGTGGTCAGGCTCGCTGACTTGGTTGATGCAAGTCATCGATCCCAATTGCATGGATCGATGCTCATGATATCAATCACTGGATTGTCTGGTCCAGACTCGATTATTTACAGACCGCCGTCATATTGCTGGAATATTGCTGAGTGCGGCGTTAAACAACAAACCAACCAAATCATAGGGATACAGGACAAAACAGACGTGATTGAAATTTCATAGAACAATCTTATCACCGCGCAATCATTGGATTCACATTTATAAAGTCAACCATTCATTCTGTATAACATTCACGACAACATACGCATACATTCAGCCAGCAACACACAAACAAACACATAACAGTAAAACAATAAGCGGTACCCCAGTCATGTCGAGCAATGCTCAGTCTCTGCATAGTCTGGTCCAGACAATACTTACAGCTGATGTTGTTGTTTTAAGTGTTTAAGGGGTCGCCTTCTGCCGTAGCAATGTCGGCTGACCTGTCCCTCTTTTGGACTCATGTGTGTGAGTAGGGTACACATATCTATTGCGCGTTTTAGTATTCACAGAATTTCTGTTTTTGTTTTGATATGATTTCTATTTTCGTATATTGATATAATTTAATTTTTAACTTTGGCTGCTCTGTTTATTATACGTTCGAGAAGCTGTCCATCTCTCAGAAATAGAGTTAGTTTAGCCTTCCCTATTGCATCTCTTGGCTTTAGGAGATCTACTGGCTGATGAAAATCATCATCACTTTATGTACCTTCACCTGGTAGTATTGTCAAATAAACATCTCCAGTCTCCATCTCAACAGGTTGGGGGATCCAGCAGCCTATAAGTAATTGACAGTTGAAACAGTGTCAAACTTGGAGTGTTGTTTTCCTTTGAAGATTAGCTTCGATCAACTTTGTTCTTTTTTTATATATACAAATGTCGCCCCTATGCACTCACGTTATATGTTGTTAAGATCTAAATAGAATTAATATTTTATGTAACATAACTTATTGCTTATTACACAGGGCTACGAAATTACTTTCGATTTGGGGTACATTTTGTATGTAATTCTCCTTCATTTACATATCTCCCCCCAAAACAGTGATTTCTTTTACGCGGAACCATATATATATACATATATTATATTATATACACATGTTGATACGACGTGAGACATACTTTAACGTCATGTATTTATGATGATACATTGTATGCATGTGTTATAATCTGACGTTTGTAATATATATGTATATCCTGTGTGTGATGTAAATGTATCTGTCATTTTTCAGAATCTATTTTGTAAAGCCTTATGAATAACTGATTGATATTTGACAATGTGAACAGCTTATTATTATTATTATTATTATTATTATTGGCAGGAACAAATGTGAAATTGGTTGTATTCGTTAAATTTCCGGTTAATATTTTCATATATACTGAAACCGGAAGTGAAACAATTTTGTCGCTTGCGAAGGTTTTTCTGTCACCAGGGAAGCCGTGAGTAATTTTAAGAAATGTTTTGTTATCTTTCCTTTACTGAAGATCGGATTTTTAGTGAACGTTTGCATCCATCTATTACACTGTTTGACTTTGACGTTACAACACTGAACTCATTATGTATGGAGATCGTCCTGACCAAAGTCAGTGTATCATATTGATCTAGATGTTGCTGTAATAGTAAACCAGTATCGTTTGGCAATATTGAAATAAAACCGAATTATTTCTATGTGCAGTAAATTCAGAATATGAATTTTTAGTTTACTTAGTATAATTTAAACGAAATTGTTAACTTTTTCATCTTGAGGTGGGAAATGACGAAGTTACAGTTGACAATATTGTGGTTTCTGATGGCTCATTATTATGCATGGCTTGACTACCATCTGTCACGTCAGGAATCGGCAAATATCAAAGAGATCAGGTTTATTTCAGTCTATTTTAATGAAGACATGTGTCAGCCACTGAATGCTGTTCGTAGATGCCTTTGTTGATTAATGTATAATAAGCATCAGTATTAAAGCTAGCATCATAAATAATGACATTATTATTCTGATAGATCTAGTAATTGGTTTGTCTTTGTCTGTCAAACAAACTTATATTCAGTTGTGATGTGTGATGTATACTGTATTTTGAGAAATGTGGATAATGATAATTGATAATGACAGATTTGATATTTATTTCTTCTGTGATGATAGAGCTTGGGTAATCTTCATATTTTCATGGACAACATGCCGTAAAATACCTATTTTATCAACTCATTCCAGGAGATAAGCTTAGATGGTCTAAAACATCTGATTAAAATAAAGAGTTTATCAGAGATTTGGTATGTTTAACATGTTTAAAAAATAAGATTCATACATTTTCGAATGATGACAAATGCAGGTAATTTAAAATTTTATGTAATGTCAAGAACTATACAAAACATTTGTCACTGTTTGACCACATCCGTGATCTAGTTCATTAGGCCTAGGGGTGTGCAATATAACCAGTATACTCGTATATTGCAATACAGTCACAGAAGAATTAATATACATGTATTATCAAAGAAATTATACGTCCTGTCTTGAGACATTTTGATCGACTGATTTCCTATCTAAACAGCGAATTAATATACATGTATTATCAAAGAAATTATACTTCCTGTCTTGAGACATTTTGATCGACTGATTTCCTATCTAAACAGCACATGCATCAGTCTGTTTACATTAACCTTCCATATTGATCATGTAATAGGTAGTCTCATCTATCCATACTGTCATAAGCCATCTTGCAATTTGATGTCTGGATTATTGAGTGAAGCAGTACCATTTGAACAGTACAAATATATAATTTGGGCTCCAAAACATTTTGCAGTATGTATCACAATACAGCTCTCCCTGTTCCGATATATTGCAATATGATTTATGTGACAGTATGCCAACCCTGTTGTGGATAGAGCATCTGCCCGGAGAGTGGAAGGTTGGTGGTTCAATCCCCGACCATGTCATGCCAATAGACTTTAAAATGTGGTACTAGTTTTTACCCTGCCATCTTCTTCTGGGTTTATATTTTGGCTGGACTAATGAGTCTATACATAGTCCAATCAAAATCACTTAACGAAATCTGTATCTGGTTCGTAAACTGCCATGCCGATTTCGGTCGATTGCAGGATAATGGATTTGCAAAGCATGTGTACCATCAACTCTGTGTTGACCATGTTGACAGATATTTTCCAAATCTTTTCAGGTTTTTAATCAAGGTGCTCAAGTAATTTGATGCACTTCACGAGGTAAGATTCATTTTATTACTAAACAGATCTTGATTATAGATCAGATTGTCTTGACTTGATACTGCCATTTTGTTTGAAGCAAATGCAAGTAAAATGATAGGTGGAATCTGATTGGTCAATAGGAGGAACACAGAAGGGACATGACTTGTAATAGCCACTGGTTGCGCAACGATTGAATCACAATATTCAAGCCTAGTTCGGCAAGGGTTGAAACTGGACTGTTATAGTCAATTAACCAGGACTGGCTATCGATATGGATAATAGAGATCGATAATAGCCAACAAAATATTGATCAATTATCGATAACTATCCAAGAATTAACATTAAGCTAATATGCTAGAAAGTACCGAAAGAATTCAACATATTTCACACCACTGGTGAGCAGTGACACATGGATTACTTTGTTGACATTTGAGATATAACAAAAACATTTGCTTTCCGTCTTCGACAAGGGACATGACTGACAATAACAAATCTGTTTCGGTAAAGCTATATTTCATTACAATAGTTTATGTAGATCATGTAGATATTCATTAATATTTGTTCCCATCAACGATAATTCCGATTATCATGATTATCAATGTTTTTAACTAGCCCTAGTGTTAAGTCCCTTGTCTCAGGATGATCTCACCAAGTCAGATGCTTGGCATTCATTAGACGAAACAAGGACTTCTCTGCTCGGACTCGGTATGATGTGTCTGAGTGGCGTGTACAGTGTACATGTTAAACTGTGGCATGGTATCTCAGTGGGGAAGCACTATTTAAAACCAGCTTGGCTGGGTTTTACCTAGACTTACAAAACTTGGGGCTCTGAGAACCCCCAGTAATTAGTTTTAAGGATCTTTGCAGGCAATATGAGGGTCCTGTAAATGAATGAAATGGTGTAGTGCACTGTATGTTTAGAGAATTACTTTTGAGCCTGGAATGAATCAAAGATCATGTAGAC